TCACTTGAAATAATAATAATAAAAAAAGTATATATATATTTTTTAGTATAGAGGGTTTTTTTTATAGAGGCTCATGCTCCCCTGTAACAGGAGTGCAGTATTAAAAACATGTTTTCAAAATTAAAAAAAAAAAAAAAAAAAAGCATTTTCCAAAGAGGCCATTACTAAGAACTGGCTCAATTTTAACAATGGTAGACAAAATACAAGAAATAGTAAACTTAATACTCTTCTCTGTTTAAAGACTGTGTATTACTGCTTTCACTTTGGTCCTATTATGTATCCATGTAACGGTATGATAAATGATGAAACTAAATAAAAATTAACAAAAAATCCACTTTGTCATAAATCATTCTTTCCAAAAATGTTAAAATGTTAGAAATTATCCAAGTGACATTTATATGTTTAACTTCCAATTAACCACATTATAGTTTTCAAAAACTGGGCAAAAACATGTTATGCTATGCTGTTCATATATAAAACATACACACAAGGAGTAAAAATAAAAACACCTTAAAAATGCAAGTTTATACCTTAAAATGTAGGCAAATCAGCTGTCATCATGTTGGAATATGCTATAAAGATGCAATAATGCAAGTTATCAAAATCGTTTGATCTGAAAGTGCCTCAAATCCTCATATTGTGCCATACTAAAAAACTGACATATTTCATGATGACATGTAAACATATATAATGTGACTTTCTTGGAAAAATGCAAAAGACCACAAAGTAATCCAAGTATACATGTGTATCCTCCAAGATTTACCACCATGTAAGTAATCAGTATTCCTTTCAATAAAGTAAAAAAAGGGAAAAAGTATTCTTTTTTTATCCCTGACAATCAGGGCTGATATTGTGACCAATTTCCTAAATCAATTTGATTCAATTCACATGGTTCTAATACCATTAACCAAAATTCAATTAGAGTCAATCTGCTTCTAATTAATTACTGTATTACAAAATAGTTGTCAGAAAGAGAAACTACTAAAATATTAAAATACTCATTTATGTGTTTGTGCTACAAATTTTGAACCAACAGCTTGCCCAGGCAAAATTGTAACGTGACACAAATCTTTAAATTAGATGACAATATAATTTCAGTAACTCTTTCATACCGGTGCCCAGAGTTATGAAGGTGGAGCGGCCGTATTTTTGCACCCAATGGTCTCATGGCTGTTGGTGCTCCATAAAACTGGTTAATCTTCTTTAATGGTCTTTCTTAATCTTTTCTTAATGGTCTTTGAACCATCTCCCAGTACCTTCCTGTGAACCAACAAAAGGATCTTTGTCACTGATGAACATAAATAACTCTCCACCTTGGAACACGTCAACACTGTTGTGTTGTTCTCAGCAGTTCCACATTTAACAATAACACGCTGCAGACTGTTTATACATAAGCTGTGTCAAAGGTTCAACTGTAAACAGTTATTCATAGACAAAGATAAGGTGGAGCAGAGCTGCTGACAATGAGCAATGAAACTCTTTACACAGAATATGAAATTTTATATCCACATCACAAAATGTCAGCACTGATGCTTATAAACTAGGACGATGGCACAATATTTCTGGTTAAATACACTCTTGCTACGCATGCGCAAACTATCGAGAGGAAATTACGTAATTTTAAAGGTCCCGTAGTGTAGATTATCAGTAATGGAGAAATGATTTGTAGATGTGTGCGAAAAGAAATAAAATAGATAATTGACGACATTAAAGCAAAAATGTTGTGGTATCAGTACAGTCAAGTCAGAAAAAATGACATTGTACCCGAACAAAAAGCAGACTGTACAATTGAACAAATGAAATTACGTGTAATAACAGAAAATCATCTTCAAACTTTAATTCTTAGCCTTCGGCTTTTTAAGCATTTGTCTTTTCCAGACGAGCCATCGGCTGTGCATTGAGTGTCCACAGAGACGAAAACGCTGGACTAAACACGCTAGCAGGTTAAAAAAAAGTTTATCGAGAAAAAAACTAATGCACTGGTAACCATAAAATGGCTGAACATCACATAATACTGTTTGTGTCAAGTTATCTTTACCCTTGTAACATCCACACACGCTCGACGAGACCAAATGTTTGTTTGAAAAACGACAGCGCCCATTTCCGGTATAATTTAAAAGCTCTTGCTAAGCATCCGCGGGAGAGGAAATTACGTAAATGTAATTTTCAATGTGAAATAATTTGTAGAGCTGTGTGTACAAATTAATTAAAATTACAACAAAACAAAAATAAATAGAGAGCACAAGATTGTACCCGTTTCTTGATAACATTTTAGATTTCCAATCAAATGCTTCCTGATAAAATGATGATGATCAGAAATAATGATGATCAGAAATATTTGTATTTTGTATTAAAAATATTTCTGTCTATCTACCTATCTATCTTTCTGTCTGTCTGTCTGTCTGTCTGTCTGTCTGTCTGTCTGTCTGTCTGTCTGTCTGTCTGTCTGTCTGTCTGTCTGTCTGTCTGTCTATCTATCTATCTATCTATCTATCTATCTATCTATCTATCTATCTATCTAATCTATCTAATCTATCTAATCCAGCCAACTGCCCAACATTGTAGTCCAGTCATCATCTCGTGTGAATATTCAGGGATTTGGGGCAAAACGTTGGGGTAGGATTTGGGCCTTGATCATGTGACAACTGCAGACGTAGAATACATTGTTAAACAAACCCTGCAGAATCATAGCAAACATAGCAAATAGTCGTTGGAGTAAACAGTCTTCAGACACAGAGTAGTACACACACAAAAGCAGTGTTGTCAACAAAGTTTCTGCCACGTGTCATAGTAACACTGAAGACAGTGCTGGTGGTGATGTAGGTGGAGCTGACAGCTTCCCAGCCATTGAAGATGACATACCAAGTTTCACCAAGTGTCAGCTCTGGTTGTTGTCAGGACGCCCTCTCACTGAAACCACATTATGTAAAACAGCCTCATTAAAAAGCAAATACATTTAAAAACGTTTTGGGGTGAGAGACAGGGATACTTAACTCACCGTAGATGGTGCGCTGTTCGACGACACCGTGTCTGGGTACCTCGAAAAAAGAAGGTGTTTATTGTTGTTCAGAGTTGTTATCATCCCCAGCAGCACATTATATTAAACCCCTGTCATATGGGGATATTTTGTTAGACGCCGTATTTGGGGAAAACATTAGTGAAGTGGTGTTGCGTTGGTGTTGAGTGGAAATGTGGAAACTGTCAGAAATAATTTCTGGTGGACATGAAAAGATGTGTTAAAAATGAGCCTTGTTTGTGTCGTAGCGCTGCGGCGTTACCTGGACAATAAAACGATTTTGGTAGCAGAAAGTTGGAGAATTTGGAGACAGGGTTTATGTAATGTGAGAAGATGTGTGATGGGCCGCTGTTGTCACTTCTGATGCAGCATGATGCCCTGAGGAGTACATTTTCTCTGTGTAAATACTCAGTGGATGACATACACAAAGTCGGCAGGGTAAATTAGGAGGAATAATTCTTCAAGATGGCAATGCAGGAGGAAATGGGATTTAAAAGTACTTCTGCCTAAAGATCCTGGCCGTACAGGAAGACTTGTAGTTAAGGTGACTGAAGGGAGTCTTATTTCTGGCAGCGGAGTCACATTAGTGACATTTATCACTGAGGGGGGAGATGGTATAATTAGCTTGTCAGACGACTTTAGGCCGAGCTGCCGCTCTGTGGAGAGGAATGGAGCGCAGACCCAGGGAGCTGACAGGCAGTCGATAACGTGGCAATTAGTGTCATAAATAATTCTAAAGCCAATTATATTAAAATGGACTTCACACACTAAAACAACACTTTATTTCCTATGGCTTTATGATGTGCATGGCATCAAACACCAGGGGCAGATTTCCCTCTCTATTTCTACATATGGCCAACATATGGCTAAGTCATAACGTGAAGCATAAAAATCAGAAGCGCTGTGTCGGAGATTTATTTGTTGATTTAGTTTTCTTTTGACTCATGAACGTCCTCCTTATTGCTGAAGCATCACCCTCAGTAAAAAGCAAATACAAAGTGTAAAACCACTTTTAATCAAAATTATATTGCCTCCATGTTTCTGGCTGTATAAAACGGCTACAGCTCGTAAAAAATGTGAGTAATATAATGGCAGTAGTGGTTAAATATATCAAACGCTCCTTGTGGCCTTGGGAGGGTCAAGCCCAGTATGATATATAGAGAAGCCTGTGATGGCTGAAGGTCGTGTCAGCTTCCCCTGCATAATGTATGAATCCTGTAACTCCCTCTGACTCCAATCTTCTGAACCTGAACCTTGGGATGAAAATTTTACTAAGTAAATCAGGAAGCATGCCGGCATTTCTATTAACCTCCAGTGTGGAGCTGGCAGAAACGTGAATCACGGTAAATAATATCTTGCTAACTGTAAATCATGTTTACAACTTGTGCCAAGAAGTGACATCATGGGATGGTGCCATCTGTTTGCCGTTTGTTACCTCAGATTTCATTGCACAAGGAGGAAGAAAAGAAACAAAAATCACTTTGTGTTACGTTGTGTTGTAGAGAGAAAAAGACAAATACGGTGTACTGGTTTTTCATTCACTCATCTACACAAACACACACACGCATGTGTGTGTATGTTTGGATATGTACATACATATACACATATATGTAAAAATGTATTTATACATATATATGTAAATATGTACAGAATATATATATGCATATGTGCATTTACTTATGTATATGTACATCATACATATATACACACAAATATATGTCATATCATATATATACATATATGATGTACATCTTTACAAATATATCTATATCAATATATACACATATACAGTATATAGATATACACAGTGCATATATCTAGGATATAGCTCTTTGATGAGCATCATTTCTCACTTTAAACATGACAACAGCCAGGAGCTTCGATTTAAGTATTCGTGGAGTAAAACCAAAGGAAAAGAATATGTTGACCTTTACGAGGGAACACAAAGGGTCAAGTGCAGCAATTGTGCCTCAGAGGCAGTTTGCCTGCCAGTGCTGGTGGATCTATATATTTACTCCATAAATGAAATCTTTATTCCACGTTATCTGTTTCCTTATTACAAACATACATTTTCTCCAAGTGACACGTAAAGATGTAATTTAAACAAATATCCAGGTGGCAGCGCCGCAAGTTTCCATAGCTTCTAACCCCACCCAGCGTGTAAGACTGTGAGCTCCTGCCCTCTTTCATTTCTATATCAAAGGGTAAACTAATGCAAAATGTATATGGCCCTTGGCACGAAAGATGGTGTTGTGGCTCAGTACAGGAAGATCGCTGTGCTAAAAGCTCAAAACATCTGTGTAAACACATGGCCTTCTTCCAACCATGTAGACAATGTTCTCATAGCCTTAAGATAGATGTCCAAGGCAATATCCCCTACCCTGGGGGCACACTGGTATGGCTTTGAACATCTGAGAAACCTTCAGCTTCAAGCAGTATGTCCTTTCAATATTCAGACCTACTGTAGGAAAGAATTCAACATATGGCTCTAATTCAACTGAGCTTATTTTTGTAGGCGCCGATTATGAATGGAAGTATGCCGATTGTGAATCACGAAGGTTTTAATGTATAATAGACGTTGAGAAGGAAGGACGGATGGAACAAAAGGTGAAGCTTTTGTCTTTGTTGTTGCTCTTTAATTCTGTTAATAGCCCAAGGTAAAGATTTATCTGCTCTTGTCAATTTACCTTAGACTCAAAATAAAGCACCAAGGTCACTTTTTCCCTGTGTGGCCCACAGGATTAAATTGTCATGTCCCTCTAATAGGCAGCACAGGGAATCATTAGTCCAGCTCAGCTGCCTGACTGATAGGCATTTCAGTCCAATCATGGGAGTGTGCCGCCACGGGCCAGCCAGTATTGACACTGTGTCAAGTCTGAGAGGGGACGCCTTAATCAGCCAGGACACACTCAACATTGATTTGACAAGCTGCCGTAATGACCCCCCCTTGTTTTGGTAAAGGATCATTGTTTATCCAGGCCGCCATTGATGCACTGGGAGTGCCGCATTGTCACGGAAACTACGTCCACGATTCTGACCGGTATTACTGTACATAATTGTGCTAATATTGACTGATTACATCGGTTGGTCAATCATATCTTTGATCAACTTCAATCTCCAGTGTCCTCCAGTCTTTTTTATAGAGACCAAATGTCCCTCTGTCTGTAGCCATGTTTGTAGTTCAGGACATGGATTCTTTTCAATTAAAAAATATGTAGAATGACATAAACGCATGTCTCCAGGAAACATTTAGATGTTAGCAAAGAAATTACAGAACGGAAATTTTCAAACCTGTGCTAAAATTATCTCTCTGTCCTTTAAAACCATTGTTATAATCTTCCTGTTTTTTTCTTGGCACGGCGGCTCCACGTGTTTGTTTATTAAGAAGAGGTGACACCACAGCTGGCAGGAGGATCAGGAAAATCAGCAGCCTGTCTGCGAGGTGTTAGACCATAAATATTATTGGCAGGCTGACAGTCTCCCACAGAGCCGCGGCGTGTAAAATCGTTAACAAGCAACATGATGGGCTCTCTCCATCCCCAAGGTGAGAAGGTGGAGAGTGTTTTTATCAGCCCCTGTCTCCAGGGTGCAGCGAGGTGTCTAGTGTCACATGATCAGTCCGTCATCATCGTAGATCAAGACATCAAGCGTCTCTTTGATAGACAAATGTGTCAAACTCAGCCCACAGCTGCCTCGTTTGTGTATTCAGTGCTTGCTCGGAGAACAGAATGTGAGAAAATTAAAAAGCAGGCGGCCCGCAGAACACGATACGATACGTCGGCCTTTAATTTGTGAAAATACAAAAATGAAATCATGTACAATTTATGTACAAGCCTATTTGTACAAGACAATGATCTGTATTTATTATTGATATTGTGTCACGGTCAGTAATAGCATCATCAGTAAATACACGAGTGAATGTACTTTAAAAAAAAAATCACAGAATGATTTAAACTAGACAAACAGTTCTCTTAAGCCCACAGGAACTGAGAGTCGGCAAAATTAAAACTCCACAAAAAACTCCACAATAGGCCCCACAGATTATTTCTTTTAAGCAGACAAAATAGTCATATTTAAATTGGAATTGAATAAGAGTGATTGAGACATTGTTTTTAAGACTTAAAAATCTCGAAAATATTTTTTTCTTCAGGGAAAGATTTTCAAAGGACAGTTTGTAGGAGAGTCTTTTTTTTTTGTCACAGCAAAAGTCAAAATGCATTTAAATCCAACTTAACTTAAAAAGCAGCCCCTTCTCGCAGCAGTGGGTCTTGTTGTTTCCTCCGATGGCTTCAGCACTGCCTGGCACATCAATGACACTGTGGGAGGTGACGGATGAAAAGATGGCTGTGATGTTCTCTGGTGACAGAAGAAGTTTTTTGTTGTTCTCTTGTTTTGTGTGCGTGTGTGAGAGTAAGTGACAAGGCAACTAAAATACCTGTGTTTACAAAGTCAAATGAGACAACTGCTAGTCATTCTCACGTGCTAAAACAAACGAATTGTCCTTCCGTCTGTGTCTCTCTCATAGATGTGTCAGAAGACGATGGACTTTTATAAGAGAAACAGTCGATCGTAATAACAAAAAAATGTATATAGCCGTTAGAAAAATATTACGATAGAGCTGTTTTTTAGGCAATTAAAAAAAAAACCACGAACATGTGTGAATATGGCGTTAAGATTGGTCATGGAGCACATACAGTACATCCAACTGACGGCCTCCAAGACAATCCTGTGTCAGGCAGTGCTTACAGCCAAGGGAGGAATAAAGGTGCCCACCTTTGCGATATGTGGCTTTGACGTTCATCTCACTGACACACTGTGGAATATGGCGTAGCTTATCGTGGTGATGTTTGGCTATGCTGTTGATAGTGTCTCGATACGAGTGGGACCGTAGTCCCGTAGATGTGATGTGACAAAACAGCTCTATCATATTGTACTTGGCTATCGAGAAAACGAGACCTGTGGAACTGCTGAAGTTGAACTCGAGTTTTGGACGTTGCAACCCAATGGCGACGAAAAAGAGCCAGAATTCTGTGAAAGGCAAAGATAAGACAGAATGATATATATATATTTATATATGTATACTGTATTAGCCATGTGACAGAAATCACAAGTTCTTAAAAAACTTTGGGGCCAAGTGCCACGGACACATGGACACTGGCTATGGAGACTGTCATAAATGGTGTGAATTAGAGCGGGTCGGTGATGATGGCGTTGCAGCAGGACGTGGAATACTCACTCAGACATACTGTACAGATTGGTTGTGTGACACTGGGTAAATGCAGTAGTAGCAGTAGGGGGCTAAAAAAGGCAACATTTACTGCAAAAACATTTGAGCTAACAACAGCTGTAGCAGTCGGAGCCACGTTTACATTGTTTGGCTTCCTTGAGTGTCCGTAGTCTCCCAGACCAGAACAGAATAGAACAGAAAGCCATAGAATGTGGCCACAAGAAGTGGCCTAATGTCTGAGTATTGTTATTGGTAGAAGTTGTGATTATTGTCTGTATTGTATCTTCAGTCCTAATGAAGGTGGATAAGGAAATAAGGGAAATTGCGTCTTGTGTCGTCTGATGGTTTATGTTGGCAGATGAGAAGTCTGCAGCAGTCTGCAGACTTGTACCACACAGTTGTCAACAAGGGTCCCAGAGTTTAGCACTCGTCCTCTGCTTCTCACAACATTGGAACCGAACTGCTCGTTGATTTAGTGTGACTGACTTGGCTGATGGTAAGGGAACTGTGTGGTCCTCGGCTGGCCTGTAAACTCATCTGTAAACCATGTCTTTTCTGAAAAAGTAAGAAGAAAAAGAAATATATACAATGAGGACAGAATCGGATAAAATCAGAATCAGATTTATGCACCGTGGTGGACGTCACTGTGGACTCTGACCAGGGACACACAGGCGCAGGACGACACTGTACCGTGCACAACACAAGACCTTTAAAAGCAGCACCTACTTTTGCTTGTCTCGCGACTCCCTGCTTTTTGTGCGGTTGCTGCGGTTGGCGGCTGGGATAGAGTGGACGGAGGAGCTCTTTTTACTGGAGGAGTACGACGAATGGGAAGAGTGGGAAAGGTTCGTTCGAGACTGCCCGGCGTTGTGGTCAAACTGCATCAGGCAGAATATCAGGTCTGAGGGCACCATCTCAAACGCGTACGGTGGATTAGTGATGACGTACCTACAGGAGAAAGAAAAGAAGCAGCATGCAGCTTTTATATATTCTGTTGCATTGTGGGATATCTAAACTCCACCAACTCCTTTATTTATCATTTGGACTTTTTTTTCACAAGTTTCACTCACCGTTTGGTACACTGGCTCTGCAAGTTCAAATGTGCGTCTCGTAGCCGATATATGCCAAAGCACAGCATGTTGTATGTTTTCAGGGCTTTACAGAACAGGTCTCCGTAGCAACCGCCCTCCTGTACACAGTGTTGATCACATTTAGTGCTTCATTTCATCCAAATATATGACAAAACAATTACTTTGACTACTGTTTATGGTGACTACTGCACACAACACACATATATTTGAATTCTTCACATTTATTTGCAGTCAAGTTTCTGAATAAAACCCGGCGACTTGACTCACTCACCCCCAGGTCGGCAAAGGGCCCGTCGTACAGGGCCAGCTGAGCCACGCGACACCTGTCCCTGTTCGCCAGGGTCTGCGGTGTGCTGTAACCGCCTCGCAGAGCGTTCTCTTCCGCCAACAGCCCCTCCAGCTCCGGCGTCGCTCCGCCCGTTACCAGTGTCCGGATCAAGGTGAGGATATTATCGTTGAAGTATGTCTGATGGGACACAGGTAGAAAGGATGACGAGTGTTAGAGCAAAACTCACCACTGGACCTTTTCAAAGTGCTGCCTATTCCAAATGGTGCTATCTGTCATGTCACACTGTTCTGTACAGCCAGCCGAAAAGACAGAACAACCCAATTACCGCAGGTTACTTTCATTGCCGTCAAGTCCACCTGAACACCTTTCTGCTGTTTCGGCGTGTCTTACAGCTACATAACAGATTCCAAAGATCAACTCAAAGCCAAAGGCGTTACATCGTCTCTTTATCCAAACCTGACGTTACTTTGTTAATTTCAAGAAGGGCAAATGTCTGCCCTTCTCTCTGCACCGCGGCCACTTGTCTCCCCCACTGCTTGTACAGCACAGTGACATCTCCCCTCAGCTGCTGACAGCACTATTGACTAAGATGATGGATGAGCGCTGTCCATTAGGTGGCATTACCTACGTCTGCGCTGAAGCACACTCGAAGCTAGCTTTGTTCTGACCTCAGTCAAAGTGAAAGGCAGACAAATGAAGCCATCGTGTCTGAAACAAGACCCGGTCTTGTCATCTATTGTTTTAATGGCTGCGACAAAGCACTCTTTCACACTGCTGACAGATATGGCCACTGAACAAAGCCTCTGTCTCAGTCTTTCTGTATGTAGTTTGGGACAAATATAGTAGTACAGACTTTCTATTACTTTTATTAACACAAAATAAAGACTCCCCATATAAATTTAATCAAAAATGTGAATTTCCTTCAAGTATTCTCATCATCGACTGCTTGCGACAGTTACTGTTGAGGTCAAACTAAAATAAATAAATAACTTGAAATTATTGATCCCATATTTGGGAAATTCTTGTGCTTCTGGGAATCAGACCCAGGACTCTATAGTCTTTGATTCCGAGACAGGCGTGCTAACTGCTACACTATAGAATTGACCAATAATTTAGTGTTTCCCTGATTTAAGTTTGACAAATATTCTCATTCCAGACAAAAATAACACTGCAATTTCACAAGTAAATTTCACCAAGTTCATAATAACTGTGGTCAAATCCCTCGGTCCAACAGTATTTCAAACATATGTCAATACATAGTTACTGTAAAACTGACTCTCACTTACAGCACTCATCAAGGAGTCCAGCACGCTCACTGCAAAGGCTGTTCCACAGGCAAACGGCTGGGTGAGGTACAGTTCTGTGTCGGGGTCGTCGTCGTCATCTTGGTCCAGGAACTGAACGTTTGAGTCGTTCACTGAAGACGCAAACGTACGCTGTGTTAGTTCATGTTCTCATTTCAGCTGATGGTTGAGAACCAAAGTTTGTGATTTGGGAAAAAAAGGATGATTTGTAGCTTGAGGTGAAAGAGAGAACGTAAAAGTACAGCGGTTGTGCTCAACAGTTGGTAGCTGCAGATATGGACTGTATTAGTGAGCCCAGTGTCTCTATTTGAAATTTGGACAAGGCCGCATTTCCTTTAACTGAATCCAAATCGTGCCCGCTACATTCCATATCCAGAAGTTTCATGCACAATCGTGACCCCATGCATATTGTCAAAGCCCCCAGCCGTCATTCAAAGTCCACCAAAGGTCAGCGGAACTGATAAGCGATCGTTCGGATTGTAAATTCAAGACAGGACTTCCAATTACTTCAGCCCTCGTGTCAAAACAAATGAAAGCATCTCGTTGCCCCAGAACCTCCTTTGAAGAGGTGTCTGTGCGCAAAAGAACGCATGCAGTAGCTGGAAGAAAGTAATGATGTAAAATTTAGTCCGAGAGCAGCTCTTTCTGCGAGGACAGAAACAAACGTCAGTCATTTCGACAAGGGCCGGGATGAAAGGAGGCCCAGTGAATGTGATCCGACAGAAGATGCTACGAAAACTGCCACGAGGACTTCTGAGGGATCAAAGGCCTTGTAATTCTTAGAAAAATAAAAGGGAACAATTTTGCTTTGAGATAAGGGGCCAAAACAAGACGGGCAATTTCAACCAGAACTGAGGGTAAAATGTGCTCAAAGTGATGCTGTGGGAATGGACTCAGCCTCTTGTGCAGCGAGAGAAATCAAAAGAAAGCTGATATGGAGGCAGCAGTTACAACACTGCAGTACAGGACAGAGTGGAGCACTTCTTACCAAGCTCGGTTATCATTTGTATGCTGGTCCCACTGCTTTTATCCTGACTGAATGAAATCACAGGCACTTTTTTGCCCGCCTTCGCTAATGGCGCTAGACAAAATGTTGAGGAAAAACAGTTACTGGAGCATGTCAACAAGGGACCAAGAGAGGAAGGAAAAAAAAAAGAAAACACAAAACCTCTACGTGTAGTTAATCAAATGTTGACAACCTATAATTGCAGAAATTGCATTTTCAGATCTGTTTACAGCTACTTAGCTGAAATCGACATGGCACAGTAAAGCAAGCACATCAATCATGTGACACGGGGAAACGGCGGCCGGCGTACCGAGCTCTGTTATGATGGGGATGTTTGCTCCTGTCGTCACCGAGGTCTGCCTCACTAAGCCGTGGACAGGGCTGTTTTCTGGAGAGGATCTGTCCATTCCTGGTGGTGTGAAGCCTGAATGGGCGGGCACACGCACACATACACACAGAAAACAAAGTACATCTGTTATTGCAATATTCAGTACTTCATCACCGGCTGCAAACAAGCACATCAGCAATGTGGCAATTTCTTTCCCAACCGCTGCTCGGGCATTAAGTTGCTGAGTGCGATGTTGCCGCCCCACTGATGAGACCCAATATCAGCGTATATATTATACATGTGACATACCGCTCATTTTGTTTCCCTTGACCGTGTGTGCCAGGACATGAAAACCTTTTTACACACGGCACAAAGACAAGCGTGTACGGTAAGGAGCCATGAAATAGAAAATAACTGACGCAAGATTGAATTCGGATCGACCTGACAGTCCTTGCTTTCCTCAGACTGACAAGTAAGCACATTAAATCAATGATGCTGTATGTATAATACATAGGCCGTGTTTTGACATCCATCACTAACTGCTGACTAAGGCAAACGCGAGGTCATACATGTATTAGAGGAATAATGAAATTGGCAGGGATCGCCACCCCCTCGCTCTCCCCTCTCCGCAGGTCAAAAGGTTTCTAAAAGCATTTGTCTCACAGCCGCAGACAGAGCAGTATTAAAGGCCCCGTGAACTCATTGTTTCTGCAGCTTATGTACAAGCTGTAATGTACGATTCTCATTTCTACAGCAGTTGGTACATTTTCTAAATGTGCAATATAAACTGCAATCCTCAATCTGATAATCTCACAACGGCGGCAGTCAGTTTGTTTTTTCTCTAAACCTACTGTAATTCAATTCAGTTCTTATAAACGTTTCTAGAAATTCATACCAACACACTTCTGTGGACTGTTGTGGATTGATAACAGTAATATGCTTTATTATATTTTCCTGAAAAAGTCTTCAAAAATAAATTGTTCTCAAAAAATTAATACAAATGCACTGATTTGCTTTTTATATGGTTAAAATTTAGGAAAAAAATAATAGGAATTGTCATTTAAGTTTGTCAAATGCACTGACGTCTGGTCGGTGTGACAGCCCCTACTGAAGGGTAGTCTCGGTGCCAGTGCCCTGTCCCTCACAGGCAGTGCAGTGAACTATGATAGGGCGCTGCCTACCTTGGGAGTTGGCCTGCAAGACCCCAATGCTGTCGTCAAACTGCATGGATTTGATGTTGAGTGACGCCAAGATGCATTCCTTGTCCTGCAGTGATGCATCGTCAATATTGTTCTGATTGGCTGACAGGATGACGCACATGTCACAGAGGTTGATGTTGACAGCCCTTAGATCTGCCCGACTCAGCGGTGTGCCCTTTGAGAGAAAATAACAAGTTTTACTTTCTAAATGACGACACCAAAAATGTAGAAGATAAATGACGAGGGCAACTGCTACCACCCTCATTTTAATGGAAGGCCAAAAATGGAGAAAAGTCAAGTGCAGTAGTTTTTATACAGTATTTATGATTGTTGTGAAGTTATTTTTACATTTTATCTTAGTTAGTAAAATAACCTTAGAACTTTGGTCTGAACTGTCTTTTTTTTAATGTTTCAAATCCACAGATTTCTCCTCACTTACTGGCAGAATAGAAACTTTTGGAAAGTTGTGAAGAGTCTCCCACTCTCTCTTGAAATACTCAAGTGAGCCCACGAACACAATGTGCTTCAGCTCGTGGTAATGAAAGTTGCTGGCCCTCAGGGGCATCACGAAATTCCGGAGACCGATCAGTGCTGATTTCACATCTCCGAATATGCACACGACCACATGACCGCTCAGGACGGTCATAGCTGCCTCGCTGCGTGTCTGTGGGACAGAAAGAGCAGGTAAAAAAATTAAAACAAAATAGTTAAAATAAGCATCAACTGCTGTTTTCTCCACTTTGCTCTTGTGAGCACACCCGTCGAAATACATTATGCGTCATGTAAATGCACCAAACGTCAAGTGAATGATGGCGTCGATACAAGAAACGCTTAATAAAACAGGTTCTCCGTATACAAATGACAAGTCAAACACCTCATTAAAGTGTTAAAGTGCCCTGTCAACCACTGACGGTGCTCTGCGACATGTCACATCTGTCACAGGGCAGACGAGTGTCAGGGAAAAATGACGTGTAGTATGCAAAGGGGCAGAACGCACCAAGATGACCTTCTCGATGTCTTTGGACGGGCTCCAATGAAACATCCCCGTCGAGTCATATTTCTTCACATTCTCGTCCATGCTCTCAATCTGCTCGTTCCCCGGGACAAGGAGTGGGTCGTGTCTAATCAATAAAGAGAAGAGAAGGACAAAGAAATGAGATCACTAGACACTCCAGCTGTGAATTCATGTCAAAGGGTTCTTGGGATATAGCTGTGGAGTCGCTGTATAAAATAAAAAACCTTTTTTCTAATTGTCAAAAAGTATTTTCAATACACTATTTAATTTCAAGGCTGTGCTCATTCCTGTCAAAGGCCATCTGCAGAAATGCCAACAACGCTGCCATGTCATCAAGCAGAGTGACATCAGCAGCATCGTCCAAGCGGAAGAGAGTGGCAACAACACACCGCCCTGACTGGCATGAGCACGGAGACGCAATTACGCCCCCTTACTGCACACAGCTTTTGACTTGGCGTGCTGCGTAGTATAAAAGCTTTAACAGACCAGACTTTAAATATTTCAGCAATTTGCCCAATCATATTTGCTTTCCAAAGTGAAGCGTATGAATTTTTCATCAGAGCATCAGAACCACACAAACTAATTTCCCTCAGCAGAGGACAAACGCTGACCACTGAAGTGGTCTCCACACACGTCACCTGCGGTTGTACCACGCTACGTCAGGTCAAGACCATGTTTACATGCGTATCTGTTTTTGAACGACATTCTAGAAGGAAAAATAGCATGTTGATGATTAAATATATCTTGAAATAGAAAACAAGCAGTAGTTAGTACATAACTTGAGCTGCCATATAAAGACACGGTCACATACAACCATTAGCACGTCAATGTCACACTAGATAATGCAATATTTACTCACTGTTTACAACATGCTAATTTAGAGCATTGTTATTAGTGATGTTAAGTATTATCTTATTTTGTAAAACCAATAACACGACTGCAAACTACCAAACTGCAAAAATGTTTTTCCACATGAAAATGTTGTTCATGTTGACATTATGAGACGCTCTGTATGATGAAGAGGTTTCAGTGACCATCATGATGGGTTTAATACAAATTATCGACTTATTCAGCTACAAACCGAGCAAAGAAATTCACCGGATAATCGTTTAAAAAAATTCATCATCTTAAAAAAACATAACGTATTTGGTGTAAAAAACATAAAAACCATCACATAGTTACGGTGTTAGGTTAAAACTGAGTGGGGATTTCATGAAGGAATGGTTTAATGTGACAAACACACAGACCAAATGTGAAAAATAGCAAGTGTGTCAATAACCAGACGCCTCAGAGGTATCTTCAGAGTGGCGTGCTGCCCCGACACAGTCCTAACGTTGCTCTAAATCAACTTTGTCAGATTGAGATCACGGCTGAAGATGGTATCTCCACAAAACACAGACGGCAACCTTCTGTCTTTGTCTCGAACCCTTTTAAATACTTCAGGTCCTCTCCTCATAAGACAAGCACTGTCTTTAATCCATCTGAGTGCTTCCAGAGAACGCTTCCTCAAGTAACACGTTACGTATGCATCAAAGTGTCCACTGGAAACCGTCAACCCTCGGGCCTCGAGACGGTGAAATTCAAAAAAGCCAGCCTTTGGGCTCACATACCCTCGGGCAAAACTTGAATGTACTTTTAGCGAAAGAAGAAAAGACATAGAGTAAAATGTTTTTAGACCTTAAAGACAAAGGAAACTGTCACTGTGACTTAGTGAGTTATTTTGACTATACATTTTCTGGTTGTAGGTACAGTACGTGGAGGTGGAGATTTTGTACTTGTACCATAAGACGTAAGATCGTCATCGGCAAAAATCCAATCAAACCTGCCACAACTGGTAATCTACACTCTTTAGCTAACTAAATTAGCTATCTATAACTATATATCTAAAAAGCAAGCCTGTATATACGTATATATATATATATATATACACACTATATTACCAAAAGTATTCGCTATATATATATATATATATATACATATAAAGACATAAAATGTATGGACACACACACTGACACACACACTGTCAGTGTGTATACATTTTATTTTCTGTTTTTTCAGCCACGACTTAAATCTAAAACGGGCGTTCGTCTTCGACTGAAAGCATTTACTGGTTTAACACCTCAGCTAAATATTTCATCAGAAGTCAAATGTTCCTCCACACAGTCAGCAGAGCTGCTGTCACTTCACTTTGTCCTTGTAGAGATGACTGGTGAGGCAGAGCTCTGCCAGGATAGCTATCGCTCACTGTCAGCCTTGACGGCTTGTCACTATCCCGCACTGCCAATTGCTTCGGCGGCGCTGCGGCAGACATGACGTGTATGTCACAGTGCAGTCCGATGTGACCAAACGTGTTGTGACATCCCACAATTAGATGTGTCTTAGGACCCATGGAGGAGCCGGTGGAAGTGGTGTTAATATCACTCCGGTCGCCTTTGCTCACACAGTGAGTGTAAACATAATAACTGTAATAATAATATTTCTTTAGCTAATTTTTAAATAGTTAATTTTTTAAACTCTCAAAGTCACTGCAACTTTATTCGAAAGTGAGGAGTGATATTCGAGACCATCAACTTCACCACTTATATTAACCTCACAGTGATTTTGGAATAAGTAAAAAATGCTACAAATGATTATGGTTGTACTTATTGAAAATCTTAAAAATTATAGCCATAAAATACATTTTAAAAATCCAAGAAGTACTTTACTCTACTACTTTGTTTGAAAGCACCTGAATGACCTAGTTGACGTAGAGGTCAAAGTTTGGGTTTAATTTAAGGAAAAGACATATATTGTACTACATGATTATATCATCTTCTAATCCCCGACCTTCTCAGTCATATCAAAGTCCCTGAGTTCAGGGTGACTTTACAGAAATGTGTCTTTAAATATGGCTAAAAGCAGACAGCTCTGACTCAGACAGAGTGAAATCCTCAGGCAGGTCATTTCAGTCCCTCAGGGCCCTGATGGCAGAGGTTCAATCCTTTTGTTAGCTCAGTGGGTTTGCTGATACACCTGGAAACAGAGAAGGATTTGTTCCATCACTCACAGCAACGGTTTCTCTACGAGTCATTTCTGGATGCTTTCAAATTTCCATTCTCATCGTTGGTTTTAGCTACGGAAGAAGAAAAGAGTGACGGACGTGTCCTCTGTGTCCTAGTGGTTTGTGAACACAACCAGAATGGTCATTCTCCTCTGAACGTGCTACTCCCATAAACCAGTTTCTCACAAGACACTACTGTGAGCGTTTAACTGAGTCGCTGTTTAAGAGCAACATAAACACAGTGAATGCACACGGGTCACATACTGAACTACAGTACTTTCCCCCCTCAGTATCTTAAGTGTTAAGCCGTGCTGGCTGCTATTTAGAACTCAGCCAAAGCAGGATGAAAGCTGATTTCTATGAAAAGCCATCCATCAGGAGTGCCTCATTCAGGGTCCTGCTCAAAAACCAGCTGGAGTCACATCATTCTGATAAATAGAATAGGATTTGGAGTGAGCCTAAGATGTCACAAGAACTCTGAAGAGATGGAGACAGACATCGGCTTCCACAAACAGGTTTATGCTTTAGTTTGAAAATGATTGTAAAGAGGGTTAGTATAAGAGTCTTCCCTTAAAAATGCCAATTGCATCAATAACACTACATTTGCAACTGTTGCTCAATTGATCCAAGACCCTGAAAGCCATTGCTTTGTTTTAAAAATGCCCTGATTCAGAGATATATCACAACTGCAACACACAAAGACAGGTATCTCATCCTGGGGCATGACGGTATCTTTTCAGAGAAATATGGCTGCCAATGAACAAGCATTTTAAATAAACTGCCTAGATGAGCATCGACACAATGATATGATATAACGTGAGCAGGAAAAGTTGGAAAATCCTTCACCTTATGAAAACTGACAAAGCCTCAATCCTCAAAAACCCACGGCCAATCTGTTGATCATTACTTATTTACAAAGGCCTTGAGGCCGCAGGTCCTGTAAAAACACATTTGATATAGTATACACCCAGATGTTTTTTTTCTGCGCTTGTTGCGATGAAGTATCCCTTAGGCAGTGAATGCCTCTCTTGCATGTAAGCAACAAACACACCGCAGTGCACGGAAGCACACATCCACCTGTACCGTTAGTGAATAAGCATGGCGAGGAGATGGATTGGATCGGAGGTTTGATGTTTAGCTGATGGCTATGGCAATGCAAGCACATGATTTTGATCCCCAGGAGTGAGGGAATCACCCGGAGCAATCGCCTTTGACATTACTTTGAACAAAATCAAACAAAGGAAAACACCCAGCAGGAAAAAAAAACAGAGGCTCTAAATCAAAAGAAGAGGCCAAAATGATTCATATAAATACTGTTTCTACCTAAATACTACCGCGTGCTGCCGATCGGCATTGTTTACGGTGGCGTTAAACAAAGCCGCACCTCCGAGCCATCTGCATGTTTCCGGCTACGTGTCAGGCGGTAGGGCTCTTTTGTGACTTGACACGTAATGATAGTGACTTCCACAATTATCATCCTTCTAATGGTCTCCTGTTGAGCAACCTCGCTATCTGCAGTCAAAATCAATGAGCGTGGGTTTAATTTTACAGGACAAGATAAAAGCAAGGTAGCATTTGAATTCACCTTTCATTGCAGTGATACATATCAACTGTGGCCTTACGCGCTGAAAGGAGCTCACGGGGATCTGACAATAGATGAATAGCCTGGGGCTATCTATCCTTTAGAGCCTCTCTGACTGTCATTAGTGCCAGGCCTGTTTAGGGCTGTAGTCTGCTGGTGTCACATAAAACCCTGTCGCACGTTTGCCACGGCGGCAGAGCAGAGAGGTTTTTTTTTAAGGCCATTTCCTTCATGTGAACAGTAGAGTGTGACTGATACATGCCGTTTAGGTCTCACATAAATATCTAGCAGCAAATAAATTTTACGTACAACATAAAAAATACATGTCGGCTGTGTATTTGTTGTTTTAATAAAAGGAAAAGGCATTTTAGAAAAGAGAAAAAAAAAAGGCTTCTCCATATTCCACAGACCGGTCGTTTTCCTATCAACAGGGGATCAGTGATTATGCACAGTGTGAAAGGTGTTGCTGATAGTGATGAGCCCACAGAGAGTTATCACCAGTGTCAGACTCTGCAGTTACCCTTGACTTTACACAGCATTTTTACTGTCTTTGAACTCATTGCTTTGCTTTTATGGCACATAACCATTTTGGCTCACGTTCTGGGTTCTCATCACCTTTTTAGCTGCAGCACCGGGCATTTTGCAAGAACGACGAAGCGCAGGACGCCACTTGCGTGCGAGTATTCCCAGTAATTAATGAGATACATTATATTGTACTCATAACTTGAAGTATATTTATATAATGTCCTTTTGAGCCAACAATCTATTTCCTCCTCACAGAGTTTATGTCCTGCTGACGTCTCTCCTACCTTTCCTGGCAGTTGTTCCAAACCCCAACATTACATGAATACATGTGACAAATACCTACAATACAAATACATGTGACAAATACCTGTTGATGGGTTTCCTTTACTGATAACAACAGTTATAATTAGGGATCTCCAATAATATAGGTCAGCCGATATTAGCATAGTTATGTAATATCTGTATCATTTTTTTCACCAATAATGCAATGTCTGTTTTTTGCCAAATGATGCCTGCCCGTTTTGGGGAAAAACAGCTGTATATGAAAATGAAAGTCACTAGATGGCAGCATTGCAGCTCATTTTATCAATCTATTTTAATATTCCGGTGACTGTATGCAGAATGCTGGTGCCAGGAACTCAAACAGTGGATTGTACAGAAAGACAAATAAATATTACCAGTCCCTTAAAAAGAACGTGTGTCCTCTAGGGGGGCAGAAAAATTGAGAAACACTGCTTTAACCCACCACTTTAATAAGCACCAGTGCCCCGCTATATCGGTATCGCTTGATAACGGAATTGGAAATAAGTGTTTGGACAATAACGGCATATCGGCAAAAAGTTAATATCGGACATCCCTAGTTATAAGACTTGTTGATGAGCCCCAGCGTGGCAATAGAAGGTCGACTTACTAGGTTTCCATGTCAGCATGATATCATACACAGAGCAGACGTGTCTGTCGGGATTTCCTACCGCATCAACTTGGGTGAGGAGTTTGGTGAAATCCTCATGCCTCCATTCCGTTGCTTCTTCTTGGGCGACAGTGCGGACTGATGGTCGCCTTCAACTGCAAGACAAGTCAACAGTGTGACACGGGCAGAGAAGCATGGAAGTACACACAAAACCCACACACCAGTTCAATCAAGACCAGCACAGCCCTGTTAGAGCTCAGTGAGTTAAAAGACATGGAAGGGTTAAAGAGAGAGTTAGATGACGGTGAGGTTGGGTGAACAAGATGCTGTGGGCGATACATTTTGACTTGTATGTAAAAAAAAAAACAAAAAAACAACAACAGCAGTGTTTCAGTGACAATGATGGGATGGATTATCTGCATGGCTGTGTGTGGAGATGGTTACATGCAAACCTCACCAACTGCCGTGCTAACGTCTGAGCTTTACTTGGCTAAAATCCACACAGTAACTTCTCTATTCGCCCACGCATATTGAACTCACTGTCCTTCAGCTATAATGTATTACCACTAAGTAGTCGACATCATAAATTGACTCATTTTGTGCCAGAGCTGAATAATTTCTGGACTTCTGCTCTGTCTTCATCTCAGGAGGAACGCCTTTGGCTCACATAATTAGGTTGGTTCTGGTGCCACAGTGATTTATGTACAGCTGAGATGCCCCTCGGTCATTGTCTTCACTGCCGCACAAAACTGCACCGAGATCTACACAGGAAGCGGAGTTCACGTCTTAGCCTGGAGTAAAGTCATCAGGCAAATATTTTCACAGGCTAATATCTGAGCACAGCAAGACCAAATCTGCTCTGTGGCCGTCCGTGGTAAAACAAAGACGGGCAGCAAGAAAAGTCTTTCCGCTAATCACATTTTAACAGACGTCTCTATTGGCAGGAACGGCTAGTTGCGTGTCGTGGAAACTGCATTTGTATGATCGTCAAGCTGTTAAGTGGTCCTGTTTTTGTTTTTTTTAATCTTTTTTGAAACAAGCGATTCAATTTAAAAACAAATGGATAGTCTCAGAGATCCTGCTGCTCCGCAGATGAACACTAGACTTGAAGCACTGCTAACACGCCTGAGAGTGACACCGTAATGAAAGATGTTGAAATAAGGGAAGGGGGCAGGACCAGGGGAGAGATGGGAGCTCCAGCACACTGGCCCTTCACATCTTGCTCGGCCTGTTCAATATTTAATGTTTCACAGCTGACAGCTGCACACACTGGGTCATTAGTAAGGAATGCTACACATGCAACCACTCCAGCCTGGCAAGCACATGCTTTGGTTGTGCTGTTGTCGAGCGCAGGCCTGCCAAACACATCGGGGGAGGAGGGGGGCGGTGCGGCCCTTACACTGCCTGTGACCAGCGACTGTGGCGGTTTTGCAGTGATTCTGGCCGTAGCCGTGTTTGACCGGAAGGCTGAGCGCCCGCTGCAGACACCGTGTCTCTTCTGCCTCCCTGGGTTTTCGGCCCACTTGGCCCAGGTCCCTGGAGCATATGATGCTCAACCTCGGGGCAGAGGCCTCAGTGATGGGCAGCAGGCTTCTCTTGCGGTTGTTGACCAATGGGATCGACGAAGAAGCTTCCCAACAGACCTGGTCTGAGTTGTAGTGGAGTTTAGCGGACTTGTATTGGTGTGTGGATGACTGAGTGAGGGTGTTTACTGCTAAATGAAGACGAGTCAAAATCAGCAGACGTACAATTCCAGTTAGTGGGTTATTTGCATTTTTAAAGGCTTATTACTGCCAAATCACAGAGTTCTGGTGGTATGTAGTTAACAACATTGTTATTTTTGGATTTATGTGCTATGGTTTTAGGGGCCATCTGATATTTCCCACTAAATTCCAATGTAATGCAAGTAAATTAAATTAAATTTGCAATGCTCCTCATGCTGTAAACTCATATCACGAGTAAATACAGCATTAAAATGATCCAGATGAGAAGCATGTGGGTTTGTTGACTATATTATTTCTCACCTGGTATTTAAACAAAACTAACAAATAAACCACAGGGCAGGAATTGATTTAAACTGATTTCAGTGAGACCTGAAAACATCTTACGACTTTCATCACAATTACATCACAATCACTGAGTTTGGGATGTAACTCTTTCCGGCATAAGAATGCTAATACCTAAATAATTAAAAGTCCTCATTTTTATTAAACACCACTTAACCACTTGCTACAGTCACCAATGAAGTGCTGGATTTGACATTTACTTTGTTATTTATAATAAACATGAATTAATAAATAGGCTTTCAGGTGTTCCGTTTGTTATGCCGTAAGGACAAGGAGGTGACAGTGGGAGTTAGCAGCCGATGCCTGCTGTAGCTCACGTCTGATGGGACGTGTAAAATGATTAGGTTTTTAAAAATACCAAGGTAACATCTTCACAGCTGCTTTGGCGAGGTTGGTGAAGATAAGTCTATAAATTTAACAGAAACAGGCAGAGGAACACAGCCCTCACGCTGAAGGAATACACTGGCTCGGAGCTAAAACTGGAGAATAGAGATGATTATTTCAACAGTCAGCTGTCGAGCAGATTATCCTTGCTGCTCCAGACCTTCACTGTATATCTGCCAAATGTCAAACCTGCACAGCAGTTCTGCAGGACAATATCACCATGAAATATTTGCTGCTTACTATAAATCGTAAACATGACTTGCCACATTTCTCTTATTTGATATTTTTTTCTTTAAATATTTATATAATAATTCTTTCTCATATATATGTTAAAAATATATATACTGTGTATTCTTTAAATATATATATATATATATCACACTGCAAACTTAAATATACTGGATATCTACATACTGTGTAGATATTCATGCTGTTTATAGTATACATACTATGTTTACATGTGTATGTATACTGTATACAGTATATACATATATATCACATACTGTTAATGTTTTGTTTGTATAAACATGCCTGTATGATCCAATTATTCTATACCTTTTTCACAGAACAGCACCATCACCATCTAGCGTTCAGCTGGTGCAACAGCAGTGCCGAGACGCAAACTGTCTCCTCATGCTTTACATTAGATGGATGGTGATGGAGCAGAGTGAGTGATGGAGGGCCAGCAGTGAAACACAGCAGATTAGAGACAGCTCACACAGTGACGGGGTGTGTATGTACAAGTGGAAGGGTTAGAAACAAATGGCACACGGGACGATGGCATTCAAAACTTACTTGACTTGATATATCCATTATAGCTATTTTTAGCTGAGGAGAATGTAGAAGACAGATGAAAGGTTACAGGGCGGTACAGACCGTAATCACCATAAATTATAAATCAAAGACTGAGGGATGGATCAAGCTTGGACAAAACACGTACACGACAATGGGGGGAAAAACTGTATCCTGACGAACGTGCTTATTGTTAACGTCTTTGCAGAATCTGTCAGTGCAATGGCTGTGCCCGTGACCTGCCAATCTAAAAAGTCACAGGTGTGTAATTTGAATCTAAAATATATGAAGTAAATGTTATTCACATCATACAGAAAGAATCTTCTTTAATATCCAGAGTGAAGATAGGATTGAAGATTAAATTCTGTCGCCTTTGATTTTCTACTCAAGAAATGAAAGATGGAATCAATCACTGACATAATATGGATGGTTACGTCCTTGAAAGTATTAAGATGTATACTGCATAACTGTATTAGCCCAGAATGCGCTCGTGTATTGACAAAGATAGATTTTCTTGTGGACGATATAGACTGGATCTCCATGTTTTTACAACACCAAACTAACTTCCCTTCTGTTTACTGACTAAATTCCAGAGGAAGTCAAAATCTTCAATGACCACCATGCATCCCATACTCTGACAGGAACAGTAGAGTGTCTTATATTCCTACAAAACGTAACACTTTACTAATTAATGTATCAAAATCCCACATACATCCTTTTAAAAAAGCACTGCAAATACTATGTACTTTAAGGTTGTTCTTGTATTCTATAAATATTAAAAAACAATTCTTGCCTTTTTTTTATTACAGCCACTTACTGCTCAAACCATTCTTTCTTTTCTCTCCTCTTTTACCTTTAAAATTTGAATTTTATTTGTTTATTCTGCTTTAAAAAAAAGCCTGCACAGATGCTGGAACTTTTTCTTTTGGAGCTTTTCCTCCCACACGTGCTCATTAGGACTGTAGTTCCGCCTCTTGCTCGTAATAAAGGTCATACATTGGGCTTACGGCAGGACAGTGACAACAATGTTTAAACAGGGACCTCGCTGGTCCTGGCATATGTCGCCTGCAATCGAGGGGCGCGAACAGAGTCACAGGACTAACAGGCTAACATCTGTCCCACGACCAGAGAGGGGGACAGGGGAGGGGGGACTTGGCTGCCTGGTGGTTACAAACTGTCAGCCCGGGTTTCATGACAACTAGTAGGACTCCAAAAATGAAAATGCAAACATAATTTCCATGTCATGCCATATAAGGCCTCGCTCGGTGCTCCTCCCGCACAGAGTCGACAGCAGCTCCAGAGATTTGCCGCAGCGTAGCTGGCCAGGCCACAGCACACAACCCCGGAAGGCACGAGGGAGAGCGGAAACACCCAGAAATGTTCGGCCCTTCACAAACATGATCCTCACTGACTAAAGCTGACAGTGTTTACAGCAAAAGAGTATTAACACTCCACAAATTCAGACACATTTTTTATGCCTTCTGCAATGAATCAGTGAAACATTACAGCCTCTGGCTTAAAAAGGCACTTGAATTAAAAAAAACCTCTACTGAATTCTGCACAGTTCATTCAGTTTCACAATGTTCTTTTCATCACACTCATATGTCAAAGGGCCTGAATATATAACCCTGAGCTTCACGTGTGGCCATGAGTAAGACATTACTTTACTCATAGGTTCTACGCTGTCATTTTGTCAAAAGCCCTTAAAACATATTAACCCTGTGATACTAAAAAAAAATTTATAATTTCACACTTATATCCACTCCTGTTCACCCAGCTCTCACGAAGGAACAATCACACAGCACCATTCTATGTACTGTAATTGTTATTTTTATTATTGATCTGAACGATCAGGTTACAGTCTTCAGTTAAAGGGTTAGCATTAGCACACAGCTGATAATAACAAATGTTTTAAGGAGCAGGATACGAGTAACCCCTTAAACCAGAGTGCTTTGAGAACATTAAGGGAGTTGCAGCTGGCAAATGCTGGAAACACCAGTCCCTGCAGAACTGTTGGTACCTATAACATGTAGTCAAAACACCACCAAAGATCAGAAAACGACAGCAAAAGCACAGAACATGAAGCATCAGCTGATTGAAAGCCATAAAAGTAGAGCAAGATCTTTTGTGACAGCGATGGTTCAGTTGCGACAGCCAGGCATCATAGAACAGCCCACGTTCCAAACGCTGACAACAAAGCGTCAACGGCAACAACTTACGGGCAGGTAATGCCTCTGAGCTATCATTAAGAGAGACAGCAGAGACCTGGATGTCCTGTAGACCCGGGTCCACGTCACAAGGAACATTTACTGGCATGCAAAGGCTGGGCCACTTAGAGCGGTCCGAATCGAAACAACATGCCAGTTCTATTTTCTTGTAGAAGGGAGTCTTGGCTACTGTCACATGGGTTCAGACAAGAGGAGAGGAAGAGCAGGTTAATGCACGGGGTCAGTCTGGAGGAGGGGAGGACAAAGACAAGACGGGGGCACGGGGGACGGCTGCTGGTGGGATGAACAAGATTAACTACGTCTGGACAGCGTGCAAATGTCAGATTGGGAACTTGATATTTATATTTTCCACATTTTGTCCATTATTCTGCTCAGGGTCATTTAAGGGACGAGTGTTGGAAATATCATAAGGTCCTTGTGTCATGTGAACATTTTAGGGGTGAAGGGCAGGTCATAATTTCTGTAACAGAAAATAATTATAAACGATCTACCATGTCACCTTCAATCCTGTTCTCCTGTTCTCTCGACATTATGTACCTTTGCTTTGTCCCACATCCTAATTGAAACCCTGCCAAGATGTTTTGATCATTTACCTCAACCCACTTGGAGTAAATTATTTTTATCCCCCTCTGATGTCGATTATAATACATTTTTAACCTGTTTATTATTAAACAATTTTTCTCCTTTTTTGTGGGATTTTTTCCACACAATACAGACTTATAAATAAACACTATAAATATTATAAATAAATATATTAAAACATTTCATGGGGAAGTGGGGACATCTACTGGTCATTTGAGGTGTTACTAGGCCCGAGTGAGTTCCTGTACTCGCTCAACTCATTTGGTTGTTTGTTTTTATTGTTCCACTGACTTGTGTGTGGTTCTTATATCAACAGGAACATGCACAAGACAACTGGGGAGCTCGGCAGCGTCATTCACTGAACATGCAGCATTCTCAGTGCATTCACACAGGGGCTTCAGTCGAACTGAAGGTGCGTTCTTTTAGAGGGAGATAAAGCAACGTTACTCACAATATATCACTATAGAGTGAAATTTTAAGAAACGTGTGTCAATTCCCACGCAGCAAGAAAAGAATGCATACATTTTATGGTTAATTTTGGGCTAGGTAAAGTAAGTTGGAGGCAAAGTGAGGTGACATGGAACAAAAAAGTCTGTGGAAGCCTGTTGACATGACAACATTAGCAATGGACTGTAATAGTAACAAACACAAATGCAGCACAGCAGACAAAAAGCATTTTACACTAGTCAATTTAAATAAATAACTAAAAAAAAAAAAAAAAAACACACATTCACCAAAATCCCAAATGTATCTTGAGTTTACAAAAAACATAAAAAATCCTAACACTGTCGAAGTATTTTGTAATCTGAGTGAACTTAATCTCAGTCAGTGTTTGGTCACATCTCAGATTAAATGTGGTTCAATGTTGCAGGACCAGGTGTGTCTGCACCTGCGCAGTGCTACGCTACTGCTTCACTTTAGTTGTTTATTAAAATCTGATGCAGCCATGTGTTCACGGGTTACTTACATTTCTTGCATGCGCATTTCTTTATTCTCTTAGGATCCGTTATGTCATCGTGGCAGGCCTTACAGTAAAATAATGCCCTGGGGAAAAGAAAATCCACAGAGAAACTTCAATTATTAAACAAACAAAATACTAATAAAATATCTGACCTTTTGCTTTGAAAATGTAAAACAAATTCTGCCCATAATATTAAAATAAAAAAACGCATTTTACATGTACATCATGAAAATGTAATGTAATTTTCATACACCTAATAAGCGTTTCTACTGACCTCTAGTGGTCATACAACGGAGTTGTTTTGTTGGCAAATTTAGTTTCTAAATCAAAATCTTTCATACCTTTTTGTTTTCATCTTCGTGCTTTATTACATTTTTAATTTTATTCTTCACTCTCCTCTGAAGCCTCATCTCCTAACAAATCACTGTTTGACATGCTGGCCTGTAAAGCAGCGTATATCACAAGAAAAACATGGTCTCCCTCCGCCCATTACCTCTTCACTTCTTTGGCGTCACTGGCAATGAAGAAGCCCAAGGTTCCTTCCTGCATCTTCACGTGGTTCCCAGGGTTTATCAGGGTGCTGTGGTGATTTACAGAGCAGAGATGTCACGGCACAAAGTTACACCATGGAATCTGCAATGCTCCGCACTAACGGCTGGCAACCACACGGGGCTGGCAGGATTCATACCCGTTACTCATTCTGTCAGACCGGTGCCTGTTATTAAATTAAGCTGATGAATGCAGATAGCAGCTCTTCAAATGGTGTCTAATGAACATCGCTGCATTAAAGCAATCACTAAAACAAAGCTTCAAGCTGTGTTTAATGCCGCCTAACACCGCCTCCTCCATTCAGTTTCCTAAAAATCTTAGGGATGTTTGTGAACTCAACGCTAATTGTGTGTGCCGTCAGACAGAGGCAGCTGATTTTAAGTGGAAACGTCACTGTCAGCACATCCTGGCGGCAAACATAGCTGTGTATATATAGGCTTGTGAGTGTAACGGTAATGAATCCCCACAGTTCATGTGAGTGCATGCACTCACCTGCTCTCCCTCTGATCAGACTTGTACTCAATGGCTATGAGCAGCAGCTTCAGCTTCACATAGCACAGTCTGAAAAATAAGTAATAACAGTCGTCCATGACCTACGACCTTTCGTGGTTACATCGCAGTAGAAATCATCTCAGCCTAACATTAAAGATCATTCACATTACTGAGAACAAACACTTTAGCCTCTGAACTGCACCATCAATGCAAGGTTACTTTAATAACATAATACTGTTATTGGCTCTGTGTACTGTGCATGTACACAAATGGGAATCAAATTCAGAAACCTTTCTGATTTATTTACTAGCTAAGGCTAATGTGTTGTTCGCAAATCGTGTTTCATTTTTATTCCAAAATAATCAAATAGCATTTGCTTAAATCTCTTAAATTCTTGGCCTGAGCAACACAATAAGAAAAAAAAATCCCAAAACTATACTTACTCGCAAATAACAGGGAAAGACAAACCCACAAAGGCGCTGGACAGGTACTCCGTGTACATCTCGTTAGATACTCCTTCCAAGTAATACTTCTGCCATGTGTCCTCTTCAATCTGCGGCAAACAGAAGCTGCCATAATTACGACACTGAAGTATAAACTTTTCAAATATGTACGCAGTGCACATGTATCACCGGGGAATGACGCCTTCATATTGTTCACGTTTATCTGTCTTTATCTGCAGTTTGGAACTGTGTTTATACTTCACAGATCAATAAATCGGAGCGGCGTTTACTTTGATAAATGATCTCATGGAGAAGAGGTTGGCCAGCATGGTGGAGAGGCCCTGAGCCAGACAGCTCTGGGCAATAAAGCCCAGTTTCAGCTCTGCAAGACAAATGGCATCGTCTCCCTCCTTCCAGTTCCAGCTCGGAATGTTCAGAAGGTGAGCCTGAGGTGAGGAAAAAATATATAAACTTTTAAAACACTTTCTGACCTCACAGACAATATAGGACAGTAAATAAAAAAACTCGACGTGGACCCGATCTACTAACCTTGTTATGGTACTGCAACATCTGCGTGATGATTCGGATCTTCGGATGGTAATTCTTGATGGAAATAACCCTGAAGTAGAAAAAAAAGAACAACAAATTGTCTCTAACTGTACAACCTCCTGCTCTATAACAACATTTTAAACATTTATGTGTTTATGTGTTTTATGTTTAAAAAGAAACATCTCCTGAGATTTTAAATATATTCCAAAAGTTAAATCAATCATCTAAGAATTTGTTTGTGCTGAAGGTGCATATGTTTGGAGTCAGCACCACTTCACTGAAACTGACCAAAGCTGAACGCCAGCATTTGGTTACATTTTATACCGAGTATTTATGTCTAGACTTTTGACCATGGACTCCATCTACCTGTCAGAGGACGTTAAGTACTTATTGTTAATGATGTTGAACCTTTTGAGTTTATCCTTAGGAATGCTGGGATATGAAAACTTTCACCCTGTCGCAGCTCCTATGGAAGACAGATTTGGTATTCATTAAAATGCTTCTTTACCTCATGATGTTGCTGGCATCCTCGGCATCAGGGTCAGCACAGTATTTATTGGCCAAGATCAGACAGGCGTCTGCCGACTCAATCTTTACAAAGAGGAAACAGAAAGCCAGTCTGATTTTCCAAATCAACATAGTACACTACGCATTTTCTTTTATTTTAAGGAGGCAGCCTGACATGGTGTTACCTTGACTCTGGCCAGATCATGTGGGTTTAGGACGGATCCTTGGTAAAATTCAACTTGGGTGAAGTGGCGTTTGAACAAGGCTTCCAGCTCAAGATTAGGGGAAATACTGCGAGGAGGAAAAGTCAGTCCTGAGTCAGAGGAGGGGCCGACGCTCGTGTGTCTCTTTGACAAAACTCATTTACTTTTACCATGGAAAAGCTTTGACAGTGTCGGGTACTCACTTATGGAGAAAAACAATTTCTACATTGACATCGTCCCTGTCCTTGTGTAGGAAGTCTTTTAGAAAGTTGGACACACTCTCCAGTGTAATGTGCCCACAGACCACAATGTGCCTAGAAAACAAGGTGCAATGAAAAGGATGAAACACAGAAAGACGTGGTCGTGGATAAAAGCCGGCAACGACACAGTTCAATCACACACGAGCACTGAGTGTTTCGTCCCGGTCGTTGTCCTTGACATAGGAGAAGGAACTGGAATGACAGGGATGTTGGGTTTCACTCACAGATTAAGGATCAGAGTGTATTTAGGTGGAGATTATCAGAACAGCACCCACAGCATCTGCTGGGTCACGTGACAAAGATCATTCAGTTCATGTGAAATCACTAAATAGATTATTTAAATTATTTAAATTTTACTTAGAAGTTGATTTAACTGCGGTGAACAGTTTGTGTTAATGGATGGCTAAGTACTGCAGTGCTTCTTCATGTTCTTTACGTTGGTGTACAGCACCACCTACTGGTCTTCTCTGCAGATATGAAATTGTCAGACAGGTTTGTTAACAAAGACAGATATTTAAAAAAAACAGAAGAAAAGGGAAATAATGAACACTATGACGACACTTATGGATTTGTCTCATTGTGAAAACACTGTTGATCCAATCAAATTAGGAAGTCCTTCATCCGTCCCACAATGGGGAAATTTACAATCTGACTTTGGCTATCATTTTCTAAGAGGCATCTAGAATTGTTATCGCTCTAAAACCTGATGAATTCTCACGTTATGTTAAAGTAATAGTTTGACATTTTTATAAAAATATAATAATACATATGCAGTAAAAAAGAAAAACAATCCAGTGACAGCGAAATTTAACAGTGGCCTATTAAGAGTGTTGACATGACACCTGGAGTTTAAAACCCTGAGCATATTTAGTATTTATATTGTATATTTAATATTAATATTTAATTCTGGTGTTCTGAAAAACTGCCGACATTACAGGCTGGTACCAGCACATTCACATTTTGCTTTATTACACCCACAGGGACATTACTTTCTAGGGCAATTGATAACGCAGCCACCGAGTTGAAAAGTACATTTTGGTAAAAGGGAAATAAATGGATGTGAAAAAGACTTTTTTTTTTTGTTTGTTCAAATAAAAAAAGCTGCAGAGAAGAGAAAAGACGCTGTTCCCTGGTTGACCTGAGGTTGACCAGTGGAGATGTCTCTTGTCTAATCGGATTTGTATGCTTTGTGTTCTCTATTCGGAAACCAATAGAATACGTCATCACTTATCCCCGCCCATAAAATCAGTTGTTTTTTGGAAAACCAAGAAAGTGCATAACGAAAAAAACTCTTGACAATTTGTCTCGCTTGTAAGTCTCTCTTCAAATATTTATTCTGTATTCTTATTCAGACTTTGGTATCTCCAAGTAAAGGGAAACCAAAGAATCATTGAGATAAATGTGTTTTGTTATTCAATAAAATATACTTGACATCCTGGAGATTTCTTCCTGCTAAAAAGCAGTTTTTTCATCACATTGTTGCCAAAGTGCTTGCCTGATGATATAAACATAGTATAACCATTAAATGCATATAGAGTTCTCCATTTCTCCCATTTCTTACTGTACATTTTTTGTATATACTGTATATATTTATGTATTTCCCTCTTCAGTAAAGTATACCATGCATTTTTATGTATTACCCTCTTCAGTAAAGTATACCATGCATTAAACTATAGGTATACTAATCTGAGACGTAGAAGTATATACATGTTTAAAACTATAAACCCAGCTATCAGATTTGCATACGGACATACAAATCTGACGGGGTATACAAATTTGACACAACACGGGCGGTCTTCCACTGGACACTCAGGTTGTCCGTGGAGCAGACATGATTTTTTAAATGATTTTTGTTGTTATTTACTTAAAATCATTAATGAAAAAATTGAAATAATTAATGTTATTAAAGGATAGCAAATGATCCAAATTTAAAATAATAAGTAATTAACATGTTTTAAAATGTATATATTTTATATACAGTATAGGATAGGCTATATTTATTTATATATAGGATATATTTCTATCCTGTTTCACCCCCAAAGTTCAGCCTAAATTTATGAAATAATCAGCAAAGCTGTAGTTTGATCTGTTAAACAACAGGCTAAGCTAAGCTGACTTTCTTTTCCCTTTTCCTGTGATAGGATATATTTATTTCCTAAATGTCAAACTACTCCTTTAACTGTTGTTCTGTGATCTAAGCACTAGCGATGGTGTAGGTCAGACTGAAGACACAGGCCAAGAACGTTTAGAAGCAGAGCATGAACAAAGACAAGCATACGAGACAGGCAGAGAAAAGTGTTTGTTTTTGTTTTTTTTCCTTGCCGAGAACAAAGAACAATTTGAAAGAATTCACCATGAAGCAAGCGGGTACAAGCAACAACGTGAGTTTAGTCACTTCTTCATCTCTGACACAGGAGTTGGATGAAGGAGGTATTAGTTGAATTTTTGTGTCTAGTTTATGTTAATATTTATTACCTGAGAAAACTTACAGCAGCAGACTGCAACTCTAATTTAGTGCATTACTAATCACACTGTTAAGGGATTTATACAGCATGGATTCATTTTAATCAAGCAGACTGCTATTTGCTTGATTAAATACTTTTGGAGTTTTTATTTATTTATATAGTTTTATATATTTTATCTGGATGAATTAATGCAAATACTTGACTTTAGAACCCACAGATGACCACGGACCACCACAAAACATGAAAGATTTTCTCACTCAGAAAAGATCAATACTTAATTATTTAATATTAATAACAATCGCCATATAAAATATGTCACTACTTTTACAATGCCTGGGAACGTTTCTTTCTTATGTGCCCCCTTGCCAGAGGGGGTGCTGTTTAGTAATGTTTTCGCCTGTTTATTTATTTAAACTTTGTATTATTTATAATATAAATTTATTTCAAATTGTAGTTTTGACGTGAGAAAATCCAACATTTGCCACCCTTCACCAATGACAATACGATTACATTGACTCATTATCCTGTTATTTTTGTCTGTTATAAAATCCACATTTTTATTTCTGACCTATAGTAAAGAAAACTGAATGAAAACTGTTAAAAAAAATCTAAAATAAAATGGCTAGGACTACAGAAAAAAATTGTATAAAAAATGCATTATGGTATTTTTCATTTTACTTCACATCTATAAAACCACTGGGACTTCACCACAGACATAAATAACATTGATTGGCAGTGACACCTTGCACAAATGGCAGCAGCGGCAGCAACACATAACCAAAAAAAAAACTTGACATTTATCATGGCCAAGTTCTTCAGTCACAGTGTGACTTAAGGGCTATTCTGGATCTCTGAGACCTCTTTAAGAGAGGGCCACTCGAGTCACACAAAACCACACCATTCTTTTTGGTTTCTTTAGTTTGACTTACTTTCTGCCTCTGGTCGAGTTATAACTCCCTCCATATTTCTTCCGATTAAGGATGAGAGCAGCAATTTCTGGCACGTAGCGAGCAAACATGGCCTACATGCATGACAAAGAAAAAGAAAAGGGCATGCAGAGAAGGTTCTACTGCGGTGGAGGCAGCAGAGCCTCCTTGAATACTTACTTTCTCCCATTTACAGCACTATAGGAACCGCCGTATTTCTTGCGGTTTCCTATTAATTCTATGATTTCAGGGACGTAGCTCGCAAACATGGCCTAAGGAGAAGATAGAAGACAGAGGGGGAGAGACTAAAAAAATAGACAAAGAAGAGCAGCTAACGGTTGCTTGGAAAAAGTCTGAGAGTCGAACACTGCTGTACGTGAAGAATTACTTTATGAATTTGATAGAAGAAAAGACAGAGAAAAAAAGTTCATGCTATGTTGTGAAGTGAAGAGTGACAGGAATGGAGTGAATATTTACCAGTGGAGGGCCGTCAGGGCCAGCAAGGCCTTCTCTGCTGGATTAACATAAACCATGATCATAAGTTGATAAAAGTTTGTTGAATTTTTAATTTACTTTTCCTAAATATATAAAAGCATACTTCATATTCTTCATATTCTCTTTATGTCATATATTAGGCTCCTTCCAGTGTTGTTGTTTTCAGGATAGAGTCTCTATCCCATCAGAATTCAGCTACCTGTTGCCAGGCTGTATGAAATCTGACAGGCCTTAAGAATCAACAATGCGGATTTATTGATTTTTAAATGTGTCAGTAAATAGCCCGTTTTGTACACAATTGAGGTGATGCAATGCCCAGTAGTGCTTATAGCGTGTTTCTGTATACAATTTCTCCAGCTGTGGTCACGTGGTTTCCTAAATTCTGATATTATGTAAGGTGAAGTCGGACTGAGTAGGACATCACCGAAGGCCTAGGTGTGAAATGCACGGCCCGCCACTGATATTTACGCTATACTGGACGAAAAGAAGAACAAGGGAGAAAAGTGACAGCTGATGAGTGGTACGTCCATCTGCGACGGGAAATACAGAGAATCAAGAAAAAGCCTTATGTGCCATGTTCTGCCCAACAAACACAATCTTTGACTGATTTATAAAGCACAGTTAAATGGATGGGCGGTGAGCGTAAACTCGGAATCTCTCCACAACTCTGCACAAACACTTGCTATATATAACATGCTATAACAAATACATTTCATTTGAATCCTATTCTACACTTGTTTTTCTTAACCTAAATGTTAATACTTTTTACATTTCTCAACCTGAAATGAAATGCCACCCCCCCCCCCCCCAAAAAAAAAAAAAATCACAGAGCTGTAAACCTATATTCAATTAGCTCAAGATAAACGTTTTGGTGTCTCCACCGTAATGTTAAAGATTTTTTATTTTCCGCAGCGCAGATTTAATGATACTTTTTGCCGGTAAACTATGACTCCACTTTTGTCCTGTCACCGAGGCTCATTTAACTAGATTAGAATTGTTCAGATACCAGATAAGGCTTTTGTATGTAACACTTTGTCTTTCCAAAGGAATATAAAGTCTGCTGAAACGTCCTTCCCACCTACTCAGCTCTGGTCCTTTATTAAAAGATGTCAGTGCAGTTTAATCTCCCTAAGAATAATGGCCCATCATTCAAAGGACACAACAGTGTCCTCTCAGCGACCTTTGGCAGGCGACTCCGAGTCAGACCTGGTCATCAGCTTAGTCCCTAACGTGTGTTTGTGTGTGGAGCTTTGGATGTTTGTGCACGAGGTAAGAGACAGTACTGATGAGAAATCCATACACTGTGCTGTGATAAATCATCTACAGTCATTGTGTTTGTTGTAAAGAGGGAGGGTGGGGGTAAATGGGCGGAGCCACCTGCAAGAACAGTTCTTCATCATTAACAACAGATGCCACCATTCCCAGGGTTTAACCAATAAGCAGTACGACAACACAAACTGTTAGCTTCATAGACATTATGAACAAATCAAATCATAACATGCAACCAACAGTTAAACAGAGCAACGAAACACCTTAGTGTGAACAGAAAGATGAAGGCGTTCAGATTTGACAGGGTCCCAGACACAACGCTAGACTGGTGTATTGTCATGATTGGTTGATTAAAGGATTTCAGGCAACAATAAGTAATGAGATGTGTGTTTTTTACCAAACCACCCAAGATGAAGAAGACCATGAACAGGCGGCCCAGGGTGGTTTTCGCATAAACGTCTCCATATCCGACCGTGGACATGGTAACCATGAGTAAGTAGACACATTCCCAGTAGGAAAGTGCTTGGGAATTTTGAAAGTTGTCCCATGGGTCTCCGGAGTTTTCCACCTTGGGGAAAAAAGGCATTTATTCAACATAAAAACAACAATACAATTCAGATAAGTGAAATTAAGGATGTAAACAAGCATTAACTTACCAAGTGAATGAAGCCTGCGGCCGTCAGCCATGTGCTTATGAATATGGAACACAGGTTGACCAACTTGATGGAGTTACTTTAAAATAGAAGACAGTGTTTAGGTTGTGAAAAATTAAATACAGTTCAGAAAGATAAATCATATTATTTAAGAGAAAAACACAGAAAATGTTACAATACCTTAGACAATTATCAATTACCTGATACCTGCCATTTTAAAGAGAGCATTCAGGAGGGTGGACTATTTCAACCCCACCCAATAAATAATAATAATCCATTATCAAAGTGTAAGAGTGAGGTAATGGAAAATACAAAGACACACAAAGAGAGAGGTATAATGCAGCAGGACGAATTATTGCAGATAAATAATATTTTGGGACCAAAACAACCACTAATGTAATGCTAATATTTCATAACAAGGCAAATACACCCTTTCAAATACAACAAACTTTTATTTCTTATGTGTATTCCACTCACTTTCAAATTCTCTATGGTACCTGAATGCCCCTCGTATTTGATACGGTACCTGAACACCCCTTGTTACAGGCACATAATTAAAAATAATTCATAAATTGGTTTTTAGGGACTGTCGGAGGTTGGACGATTGTAAAACTTTTAAGATGTAAACTTTGTTACGTTTGCAATTACTTTTAACTAAAAAAAACTTTAAGTTTTTTAATTCCCAACAGCATATACTAATTATATTACTGTAGAAACAGTCCCAACATGCTCTGCTTTCTTTCACCTCCCTGTTTATCATTTGACCTCCTCACAATAGAGATTAATCTACAGCTCTCTGTCATAGTATAAGCCCTTTCCATCAGAACATCTGTGAGATAAGATTTAAATCTACGCAGAGAGTGCTTTTGTTTTCCATCGCACACTTACTCACACTCACTCACAAACACACACACACACACACACCCACAAGTCCATATAGTCACTATACAGCTCAAAAATGACATAAATGATGCTTCAAATGAATGTGCTGGGATTTATCCTTGGATTTTAAACATTATTTCTACCCTCAGAGTTGCTTTGTAATTCAAATGAATCAGAGCAGAAATATTTCCCCCAAATTAAATTGAAATTAATTTTTTTTTTTTTTAAAAAAGTACACACTTACCTTGTCTTGAGTATATTCAAAAACTGTAATATCTCTGAGAACTGTATCAACCGCAGGGCCCTCAGGAACCTCAAACCTGTGACGGGAAAAACAGTGGTTGGTTACAAAAGAATAGGAAACATTTAAACATCTGACTCTAGTGAAATAAAGACATTATACCTGACATACTGTTATCCAATAGCTTCAATGGATTCATACTTTTTCAAAGTCTTACTTATTTAAAAAAAATAAAATAAAATCATAGATCAATACATAGGTTGAACTAAAATTTGTAAAAGAACAAACGATAGATTTCTCTTCAACACTTCGTGGCTGAGTCTCAGGAGCTTCACAAAGCTCTGGTCTCCACCTGACAGGTGTTCATTAAAGCCAGCTGATCATGAAAGACACGAAAACCTGGATTAAAGTGAGAGCAGGTAGAGGCTGCCAGGACAGAGTCCTGACGTCAAATCTGAACATTGTGGGTATTTATGGGAGGAAAATGGAGCTGGTTGCCAAGATTTCAAGGACGCAGTAACACAGATGAAATCAGCACCGACAACATCAGGCTGAGCTCCTGTCTGAGATTATTGACTGACTGACTGACTGACGCTCGTACCCTCTTTGAAGCTGTGGATATTTACTGCCATATTTCACTGCTGTTTGTGTCCAAAAGCTCTGACAATCCACACATAATTCACCGTCCACCAAAGCCTCAGCTGAAGAGACATAACTCACAGCTTCCTGTTTATGTTTCATCATTTCGGTTGCACAGCATTAAAAGTTCCCGGCCGAGTTTAAAAGCCGGATGATTCACGGCTCGACCTCATGTGGACAAAAACCTGTATCGGCAGCAGTGTGAGTGGAACATAAACCACGAACGGCCGCTTCAGCCAAGAGTGAGCAATCACGTCAAATCCATCTTCACATGCATTAATCTGGCACATGAATTTCCCCGCTGAAGTGAATTTGTGTAAAAGCCAGGAGCACAAATCAAATGTGTCGCAGCCTCCGTCCAGCTGAAGCCAGGTATATTTATGTATGTTTGGAAAAAACACCTGTGAGCCCAATCTCAAGTTTTTATTTCACCTAAGGATTTCTTCAGATGAAAGAAAACCATAGATTTCTATTCCAGAATCTGACTTCCAAATAGAGTCCAAAAATACTAGGACACATCATCATCATCATCATCATCATCACCTCTGAGATTTCCCATGTTCCCTTGTCCTGCAGGTCTTACCCCAGTATGAGATCACATGAAGGCATGAACCAATGCTGTGGCACAAGCCCTGGTCCTCTTTCTCGCTGACCTGACCGTGGCCCATCCTGACCCTGTAGCCCTTCTGAAAGAGCTCCCCGGTGGATTTCTTTCTCCTCCTCGTATTTGTGACTGTCCCAGAGACGGTGCCTCCATCAGCCCCCCTGTACACTAACATCTTCGTAGGAATCATGACGGCAAACAGGCACGTCTGCGTTTGGTAAAGTTCAGTCCAAAAATGTTTTTTCAAATGTTCCAGATGAAAAAGACAAGAAGACGAGGTGCCGTCAGCTCAGCAAAGGAGCCGGCGTCCAATCATGTCCCTTTTTTATTTTATCAAGTTTTTTTTTCCCTCTGATTCAGCACAGACCTTCATTGTATCCTTGTGTTCACCGAGCTTAAAGCAAACCCTTTTCCCATCAGGATATTAGAGTGTAAGCTCCTTTAGATTTCATCCAGGGAAAGCAAGAGGCCAGACAGTGAGTCTGTGCATCAGCTGGCTTCACAGCCTAACCTACATGTCATCTCTGCAACAACACAATTGATGTTGACAAACTATATCACAGAATCTGTACGATGAAATAGGACATGACATTCTGCAATAATGTTTCCATTAGTCCAACATGATGTCTCTGCTATTTTCATCACTTAAATAAATATATTAATACCTGGGAATGACACCCAGACACGTCACAGGTTTCTAATTAAGAATAATTCACGTTTTTCTAACTCGAATAGAAGTTTGAAAATCAAAGTCAAACACACGTGAATAAAGTATCGCAAAGACGGCAGCGGGCTGAGATTTGACTTTGCACAATCCATTTAATCTGAAATATGAACCTGAGCTTGAAATATGTATCACCTCCGTCCACTAAATCACACTGAACCCTCTCCACACAACAATGAGATTTATGTATTTATTTAGAGAAGCAGTTTCAAAAGATTCCTTTTTTTTCTGCTACGACCGCTTGTGTTGTTCTCTTATTTTTAGCATACCTCAATACAGAATAATTTTTCTAATTGGTTTCACATATCAATTTTTTTTTAATTAGATTTGTGTTGAAGCTGGTAAAAATGGAGAACAATTTAAGGAAATCTTTCTTTTGTATTAATAACATGACATAGTAAATACCTGAATCCTGAACCCATATTATATTATTATTATCATTGATTTAATTATTATAGCCACTACAAACCAACTTAAATTTCAACGCCACCGTAAAGCGGCCGCTAGATGGCACCAGAACCCACCAATACCTCAGGCTTTAACTGTATTGACCGCTTAGGAAACCACAGACACGTCATACAACTGTGCTTAATCAAGATGACACGTTGTCTCCTGAACAAGGGAATCAAAAATTAACCACTAATGTAATAATAATATATCATATTAATGCAAGTACAGCCTTTCAAATGCAATAATGAATATAGAATACTTTAGTAGTATGGTTTTCTATGGTGCCTGAATGCCCCTCGTGTTTAATGGTGTATGATTCTGTCAATAAGGAAAACAGAAAGTAATGAAACAACTTGAATCCAAACAGAAACAAACGATCGCCTTCAATCCCCTAATTCCTCACAGACCTTTCCCAGCGATGAGCTTCACACATTTAGCTGATTGATTTCTATCCTCAGCCTCCAGACAAAGCCTATTAGCTGTGCGTTTGTTTGTTTTTTATCTATTTGTGAGAGCTTTCCAAACACAGGGTGATTTAATTCTAGTGTTTGAGCTGGAGGAGTTCCACTGGAGAGACGAAGGACAGGCGATGACACAGACAGCACCACGCCAGCTGTCTACAAACCTGACCTGTGGGGCCCAAAACTGATTGAGCTTTGTCAGCAGGTAAGGTCAGGATTATTCATGTATTTAATGATATATTATGATTTATCATGTTAATGTCCAAGTTAGTCAGCAAAGAAGCTGTGAGCCTCAAACAGGATCTTTTCCACATGGACATTACCATTTTTGTTTTCCTGAAACGACTCTGTTTTCAGGTGTTCAGGCTGAATATCAATAATATTTAGAACTGTTAGAGATGTTTGGATGGAGCGGTGAAATAACTTGAAGAAACCAGGACAGTCCAGCAGCTGTCTTCTTAACTGCTGTGGATAGAAGTAAACTCAAGGAGACTTCATGGACAGAGATTTAAAGGCAAGGACTTTGTAGCTTTTGTGTACAACGTATACAAGTATTCAATGGACCTGTACACTGTAATAACGCATGTCCACTGGGTGGCAGCATAGGTTATCAAAATATAGATTTTCATCAGATGGAGAGAAAAAGGAAATGTTTTCCAGACTTTCCTTGACATGATATGACCTGAATTTGAGTTATTTTTAAAATAAGTTCAGTTGTATGTTGTAATTCAAATTTACTGGCATTAATTTAAATATCATGGGTTTTTTTAACATTAATATAAAAAACCCTTACATCTGATGTAAAAGTTTGACAAGGTTTAGTGTAAATCTAATCCTATAGATTTCATTATAAATTATAAAAAAATAAAAAAAATAAAAAAATCCGTGGTCGATCAAAGCTAACACTTTGTGGTGACATCAGTGCTAGCTGAGAAACCACTGTCCACAGCTCTTTTTTGGAGCCGTACTCTTGCAACAACGTCTAACAAGCTGGCAGACTTTACACAACACTTTGGCATGTACTGAAACATGAAGCCACAGTTATTTAATTAACAGTATATTATCCTCATTATCCTCAGCAGCACACTCAGCTGGGCTAACATTACATAGCACTGCTGATGAAGGGAATACATTTTTATATGATACTATGGTTGAATAAAATTGTAATTTGTGGTTATGGATCCATAATTTGTATTTCTTAGAGAAGTTTTTCGTGTCTGTTGCAAAGTTTAGCATTAGTTATTGTAACTGATATAAGGGAGATATTACTTAAAATAAACACGTTTTGGAATAACTATGGTTCAAAGGGCGAAAGATTTGTTTGTTACCGAAGCCCAGCTGCAAACATTTTACTAAGAAAACCGTCATTCCAAATATTTCCAAGACAATTTCCAACATTTCGAAGACATTTGATCTCAAACCAAAGCTATTTCTGATTATGTAATGAATGAAATGTGAGAATCCTCACCGAGCCAGCTCCTGTTCAGGTACACCGACACAAACACCGGAGGAACCGTGAAGAAGTCCACCACTGAGTTCACCTCCAGCCAGAACCACAGCTTGTCATTGGCAGCAATGAACTGTTGAGAAAAGAAATATAAATATTAGACGCTGAGATGTGCAGGAAAGAAATAACATCATCAATCAACGTCTTCACTTGAACTCACCCGCAAGCCGAAGTACAGCAGGAAGAAGACGTTGAACGCCATGTCAATCTGCAGCGTTAGGTTTTTGTAGAAGTTCTGACAGGACTCGATGGGACTATCAGACAAAGGCAGACGCAGAGTGTGTTCATTTTTAAAAGGCAAAAATATAAGGCAATTGGTTTCCAGATAAAAATTTCAACTCTTCATGACAAAAAAAAAAGCAAAAATGATGCAATTCTTCTTTTCTTGAAAGTGCGCAGTTGGTGGTTGAGGGCAATCCTTAAAATTTGTCAATAGTTTTGTTTTGTTTTTTTGTTTAGGATGGACATGCATTTGTGGTCATACAAGCAATAACCAATCAATGCTCAGTTAACCCTTAAAGAACTGCATAGCCATCTGTCTGAGGAATAGAAAAAAAATGAACCTTTTTCCTCTCTCGTCTTTGTTGACCATCTATCAGACACCGTTTTATCTAGAAGAGGAAGTCAAACTTGATGGGAATGCTGGGAGAAGGCAGTAGTTTAAGGGTTAAGTCCATGCATGTTGTCGTTAATGAAATCAAGCAGCCAAAGCAAGAGCTAGCAATGTAGCAAAGTCTCACCCTCAAAATAGCTTGTATCTGCCACTAAGAATTCAAATAAAGACAAATAATTAACCATGTACATGGGAGTACTGAAGTGTTAGTACGGTGGATTCATGTGACGCACGCCCTGGGGGAGGAATGAAAGGAATGGAAATAATATTTAACGCCTTTTTTTTTAAAACAACTTAACATTAAAAAGTTTAAAAACGAACAAAAATAAATAAATCCTGAGCATGAAATTGACTCTATAAAAGTTGGTTTTCACAGGCAGGACAGGAACACGAACATGATTAGTTTCTGACTTCGTTGTGCTACATGTGGCCCAAACCTGACACCACTCTGCAGTGATTTACCTCCCAACACAACCTGAGATCAGTCTCCTCAGTTCTCTATCATGACCCGCGATAAAACTGAGGTGACATTAAAACACCTCGCAGATCACTGACCCTCGCTCGATTTCCCAGCTGGCGACTTCAGACGAGGTATGGAATATTAACAGATGGCCGCACATGGCCGTCTGATTCTGATCAACGCAGAGACACTAGGACTTCAGACGAGGTATGGAATATTAACCAATTCCAAACATTCGGATTGAGAAGGGCAGCGACCTTTCGTACATATGAGGCTTATCAAGCGTGCGCGGCAAAGCTCTGGGCTCCATACAGTAGGTCAAAGGTCAATACTCTGATCATGCTTTTATTGACACAACATACCTTTTATGTACGTCATGAAGGGACAGGCTGAGAATGTTGAAGCCAAAGTGTTGATTTTAACAATTTATGTTTTATTAGCTGAACCTGAATCTAAACCTAAAGTAGAGGAGCAAGACAAGATATATTTTATCTTCATATATATATATATATATATATATATATATATATGTGTATATGTATATATATATTTAAATTTGTATATTTTTTTACACATGAATAAGATTTAAAAAGTTCCATTCATCTAAACGATCTCTTTAAAAAAAAGAAGGTTCTTTCTTTTAGGAATTCTTTTTTATTATTATGAAATAATTCATTCCAGTTTGAATTGAAATGTAAAGCTGCTTTTTCCCTGTGTGCTCATACTGTAGGATAGCTGCGTTTTCAGTGACAGTACTGACACACCAGCTTTGCAAATCCCTGTCATAGCAGGGCGACAGAGCGTGCAGCACAGAGAGAGAGAGCGCTAAATAATTAAGTTCCAATAGGCCTGGCCGGGCAGAGGTCTGAGTCTGTTATGGATCACAAACCCTCCCCCCTCCACAGACTCTCCTCCCTCTCCCCCTCTGCCTTATTCACCTCCTGTCCACATCACACAGGTTAGATGAAGACACTGTCCACCAGGTCAGCTCTGAGCTGAATCCACCAAGGAAGTAGACATGTTTTAACTAGGTTTCATTTTTATATCTTTTTTTTATTATAGTTCTAACTGGGTCGTACAGTTATTGTCTTTTTTTAATTAAACATTTTTTTTATTTTGATTTAGAGTTTGTTTGTGTCAAATGTTCAGAGGCCCAGTCCTGTACCCTGGAAAAGTCATTATTTAAAGGCTGAATAATCAGGTGTCTAACTTTATTTTATCAAATGAGTTTTCACATGTATTTATTTCAGCTCTAAAATTGTACTTTGAAATTCTTCAACTAAATTCTAAATAACTGTTTGTTTTTGTCTGGTTACTGACTGTAACAAGAATTCTGATGACGACGGGGGTAAAGTGTTTATATTTCATACCACAGTATGAGTTCATTTTCATTTTGTGTCAGTATTTCTGTTTATTCTAGAAGCACACTGGCAACGCAGGCACAAATGACATTTTGATTAATGTGCAATTAAGTGTTCAATAAATTAGACGTGCCGAGATATGTGGTCTGCAGGTTTTTTATGATTCCGGTTTGATAATTTATGAGCAAGCTTAAAAAGTTTTTAAAATAAAACATCTAAAATTGGCTGTTGACATACTACAGTGTTGCTGATACTTTTTAAGATCTGCCGTGGTCGCTGAGGGGGAGAGGGGAAGAAAAACATGCAGCGGTGACTCTGACAGGTGACTTTGACTTTGTTGTCAAAATCAGCAGCTGATGACTGGTCAAATATTTTGCCACTCAGTGGAAGAGCTGGAGCAGAGATGAAGTCCCCGGGGACGTTAGCTGTTTTCTCTCTACGGTGAGGCTCACAGTTTGTGGTGCTGTACATGAGAGTAACTGCTCCTCTGCTCTTGTGTGTGTGTGTGTCGTGCTTTAAGCCAGGTCATTCTGTCCATCACCCAAGGGCCTCCACACCCCCACTGGACTAATTACAGGAAGGGCTGTATCTCTTACAGCCTGCCGCCACTTAGCAGGAAGTTCCAGGAGCAGCTAGATGGCTGCTATCCGACTTTACCGGCGGATCATGTGGTGTTGAAAAAAAAAAAAAAAAAAAAAAAATGTGGGTGATGATAAAAAAAAATAAAACAGCACAACAAAATCCTTCATCAGGTGAACAGCTACAGGAGACCACCATGAACAAGTGCTGAAGACAGGAGGCCACAGATGGCACTGGTGAGGCTGTAACTCTAGCTGCGCTTGTCGGGATAATGAAACGGGATCGTGCTCACAAAACCACATCAGAACAAGTCATGCCCTCAGCTGTGCTATGACGGAGTAACCTGGATGTTTGGCTCCAGGAGCCGCTGCGGGGGTCGGCCCACTTCATGCTATGACGGAGTAACCTGGATGTTTGGCTCCAAGAGCCGCTGCGGGGGTCGGCCCACTTCAAGCCCCCTTTCCTCACCTCTGCCTTAATGTCATTCCATTTAGACCTGATAAAGACTTTTATCCCAGAGCTTTCTCTCTCTCTCTCTCTCTGCCCGACATCCTAACATCACATCCTGTTCTACCAGCAGTTCACCAGGCTGCAGTAACAGTACACTGTGACACACGGAGCAGAAGGGGCTTCCGCTTCCTCTAATTTAATGACTGAATGCTGATTGATGATTGAATGCTGATTGTGGCGAACAGGAACTGCAGTCTTTTCCTGCCTGATCCAGACTCTGATCCCGTCGTTAACACGTTTGTATTTAAGTCAAACCCAGAGTAGTTCACCTGGAAGAGGACTTGATTAAAAACGGACCCACAGGAACTGCACCGTTGTTCTCGAATACTGCGTACTCCTCCAGCCTGAGTACTCAGTGTTATTGGCTTCAGCGCAGCACGTATGGATTATATAAAGATTTACGAGAGTACTGTACAAATCAGTTAATGGCTGCGTTTGTAATTTTTAAAAGCACCATAATAATCTTTACAGATGAGAAAACGTTTTGTCAGCGAGGTTTCTGGTGATTAAGATCGTTATACTGACAGAATAATTACTTTAGACGGTAACTAGGCTACCGCAGGAGGAAACTAAAGGACACAAAGGACATGGGTGATAAGAGTTAAAATGAACGGGTATCCTATTCTCCTTTGTTCGGCTTCTCTGAGCTGCCATTCTCTGAAAATAAGCCTAAATGTTTGAGGATGGAAGATACGACCTTTAGAAATGAAAAAAAAAACACAATTGTGATTGTGTGTTGTCTGAAAGAACGGAGTGAAAAAAAAGGAATAATCTGTCAACTCTATGTTTGGAGAAGAAACGTGTTTGGACTGATGAGGTGAATGAGAAGGTTACTTACTCATAAGAATCTATGAAGTATATGACAAGGGCCCCGATGCTGAGAGCAAACACCAGAACCACCTGTGGGGGAAAAAAAAAAAGTTCAAGTAGGAGAAGAATTACAGAACACAAACACCTTAAATGACATGTCACAATATTATTGCATGGATTTTTTTTCATTAAAATAGAGCAACCATTCTATTTAAGTTGTATTGTTTTTTAAGTTTAATTTAATTGATTATTCTGTTGATATACTGCGTGTGTGTGTATCATAAATTCAAAATTATCAATACAATATAAATATTATATTAGTAACCATCAACTGGTGGCCCAAAGGCCCAATCCGGCCCATCAACACTTCCAATCCGGCCCTCAACTCCAGGTTCTAAAATAAACATCTAATAATATTGTCAGACAAGAATATGATTTATTTTATTTTATTTTATTTTATTTTATTTATTTTAGTCCGACCCCTAAGGTGTCTGTACAGCATGTTTTTCTATAGAGTCGGTGACCTCTTCATGTATCATATTATAAATATATATAATTTGTATTTACAGGACTGTGAAAGTCTTTCCTTGAACTGACACGTACGTGCTGCTGAGTGGGAATCAAATTGTTGTTTGCCTGTTATGACTGTGTAACAACAGCGTCATGAAAAACAACACATCATCAGTGGCCGTGTTTAACTGTCTAAACAAATACACCAGAGGGAAGGGGTCCAGCTAACAGGATGCTCTTACCCACACACACGGAGGGTGCAGCCCGGTGTGACAAAGCATGATGACAACGAACATGAGCCAAACCAAAATCACTCTGTCTGTGCAGCAGCAGCACAGATCCCTACAGGAAGTGGCCTGAAGGGGGCCACACCTGAGATCGTGGGGTGTTACTGGACAAAGCAGCAGTCCTCAGGTGACAACCCTGACACAGATAGACCTCTGGTGAAACCTAATCACCGCCACTAATGCCGCAGCAATCAGACTTAACTGTAAATACAAACAGTCACATCAACAAGTCCAGATATTGAACGTGCAAACAGACAGAGGAGAACGCTTCGGCAGTAAACAACGCAACCCGTGCAGTGACTAATGTCAAAGGCATCATGATGATAATGATGATGATGATGTTGTCTGTGCTATTGGAAACTGAGCCAAAGTACAGTTTATGAGTTTGCGTAATTCTCATTTATCAGCACGGCTACTGTTAGCTGTTGAGCTACAACAGACTTATTTTTAATTCCTTTTGTGAAGCTGTAATTCCACACTGTTTGCTAATTGATATTTGACATTTCAAGAGCTCAGCTGCTCATTAATATTGTTCCAAGCCGTGTCTTCTTTGTCCCTCCTTGTCTGTCTTTTTATAATCCGCCAACAACGGAGACAAACCTCAGAAGTTTGAAGACGGCGAAACAAATGTTTTACATCACGACGCACACAACGGGTTCAGCTGTGACCCAACCTGCATTCCACCTGTTTACAAATGACACAATGGCCATCCTGAACAAGAAACCAAAGCCCATGCATAATGGATGACTTTCAACCCAATTCATTTCCATGAATTCCAAATTGTGTTGTCAGCCCGCGGTCACTGATGGCTCTGGAATGACCAGAAACACTCACATGTATTTTTAATCAACTTTTTCTCCATTCAAGAGGCCAAAACAATCTCTATAAACCACTGACCATGTATGCTGAAAAAAAAGCAGAAAGTATGGCATATCCAAAAAAGGTTAACGGCGAGGTTGCGGAAAGCTGTGAAAAAATAAACAGCAAATGGCTGAGGAAGGGTGAGACGACAGCGCTCACCACTCACCTTAGTCACGGGACAGTGAAACGTCACTTGAACTTTTTAACAGCTGACTAATCCTCAACTGCAGTATAACTTCAATACTACAATGTGTCACGGGGTAACCATTAGAGTTAAGTTGACATCAAACTTTTTTTGTATATTACTGGAACAACAACAGCAGCAAGTAGTAGTTTGAGACTAATCCAAACAATGGAATTAATAATATAAAAATACATTTTGCTTCATGAAGTTGGTGGATTTTGGGAAAGTTGTGCCCTTCGTTATGGCTCCCAGATTTTATGTCCGAGATTATGACGTTACCATCGTTAGCGTAGGACAGTGGCATAAGCTCTGACATAAGTTGAGGACCCTGCGTATGCAGTATAAAGAAAAAAATGTACAACTGTGTGGCCTGATGATGATTGGACTATTTATTTACACATTCGGCTCTTCTCTTCTTCTCCATTTTTTTTTAAACCAGAAAGCACACTTTTATTTTTGGTTGTCATGGTTACATCTTTATCACATGATATAGTTGGAAATACTACTGGTGTCAGTTCAGTCCTTGGTAGTTTTTAATAAGAAAATGTGGAGACTTGTGTCTGTGTTTTATATATATACAAATAATAAAGCGACATCTCCATCAAGGCTCATTCTTTGTTCTCCCTAGAAGCTTGTAACCACGGTGATAAAGCCTATTAGTGGTCCAGTACCAGACTTTATGACGTGCAGTCAACTGACCACGTAGGTCCACACTGAGCTCACTCCAGTCACCTCATCCATGTCTTAATTTAACCGTGCACATTTTAAATATTTAAACAGAGCATGAAGCCCCTGACCCCGTGCACCACCGCGGCGGCTGCGTAACCCTCGGCAGATTCCCCAGGAACACAGAGAGAGGAGCTCCTCCAAATGCAGTAAAGTGACCTGAGGACAGAGCTGCCAGTCCATCTGTCAGTCTGTCCTCAAATGCCACAGAGATAAAGAAGGCAACCAAACACAGACACACTGTGGAAGAGGATGATGCAGCGGCCTAATACTGATGACTACAGTCACACTTGAAGCATTAGTGAATATTAATTGGATGATGACTCAGTTCCACTGTTTTGGTTTTTTTTTTTTTGATCACTCACTCCTACAGTTTTGGCTCAGCTTCAGCCTTTCATGCTGCAAAAAAAGGCTATGTTGTTACACCGGACTAGAGGATCTTAAGCTTGGAATTTTTAAAATTGCAAATCAATAAATCAAAGGATGTTTTGCCCTGTCCTATGATAATAACTGAGCATGTATTTTCTTTTAACTAGACACTTTCTGATTTATTTGTTTTTCTCAATGATCAGGGAAGTTGTAAATGTCATTGTGATGTGGAAGACAACTTCATTTCTATCGCTGCTCTCATTAACTACTCTTTGTTTACAGCTCGCTCGCTACTTTGTCATCATTTCTGGCCACTGACAACAAATTAGCCTGGTTATAGCAGCGGTCGTAAATGTGATGGAGTGCAGCGATGACAGACACGCACCCTGGGTGAACATGTGCCACATTTTTAGTGTCATTGTCAAACGCCAGGTCCTTTGCGATTGATGTGAAAGCTGCGATCTGTCATTTTGCGCCAGCTCTTCATATAAAAGGATGTTGTTATGCTTCTCCAGACTTGGATTATTTGCTATAAATGTAATGGCTGGTATAAACCAAGACTAAGCGATGTACACAAGTTAGAATATATATAAAAAAATGGAATGGAAAGGAATGAAAGCAAATATATCACACCTAGGAGCCACAGTGAAGGGCAAAAAGTTCCCAAAAACATTAATACAAACAGAAGACAGCAAATGTAGCACAAACATGTATGAGGTACAACCAGAGAATGTAAACAGAGCCATCTTCTGCATATGGCGCAGTGGGGCAATGAATCTCTCAGCTAGCTCCTAACTAGTTCCTGACTAGTTCCCACTCAAAACTAGTTGTAATGCCCTAAGTTGCAATGCTGGAACAAGACTTTCTAATTAAATTTATGAGAGATGGCAACCAAACCGTAAAATTCTGCAGGTCGCAAACAGAGGACCTCTGCTCAAGTCTCTGCTTGACCATGGACAAAACTAAGAATAATAATAATAATAATACAATAAATAAATATAAATATATTTGAACTATACTGATGCCATATTTGGGAAATTCTTGTTTCAACAGATCTGCTGTTAAGAGGCTGCCACCAGCAAGTGCCAAGCATGTGGTAGCCTCTGGGAATCAAACCCAGGACTCTCTGCTTCCGAGGCAGGCGTGCTAAGTGCTACACTATGGAACCGAGTCTAAAGTAAATCCAAAAAAGACTGTAGAAGTGTCCAAACACCTATAATAACCTCCAAGACACTAGTGATTGATTCAGTCCAGTCTGGAACTGAAGTGTTAGAAAAACAAGGACAGGAAGGACAGTTTGGTGAAAGACAATGACAACTGAGAGACATTTTCTAAAAAAAATAAAAAAAAAAAGCTCTACAGTCATAGAGAAGCTGCCCTTCTTTGTTCAACACTATTCCCACGTGCATCAACCTGGGGATCTTATGAAGCCACGAGGAGCCATAAAGAAGATGCACTATGAACGTACTATGAAAGTGACTAGCTGTGACCAATCCTTCAAAGAGTCTGTAAGGTGAAACAAACATTTAGGTTAAAACGTGTTTAAAATCCAAAAGGTTCTTTCACACGGGTGATATCAAGACCTTCATCTTCATTTACAGTTGATTTAATTTTAACAAAGCCCTCACACCCACAATTCATACGGCGTTAGTCACAACAACAGTGAGAAGAGTTTATTGACAGAAGGTTCTTATAATTAGACACCACAGCTCAATGGCCAGAGGCTGAGAGAGAGGCTGAGGAAATGAAAACAAAAAAAGTTATTCTATTGTCACCCAGGATGTTTTAGAAGTCCTGCACTTATAAAAATACCTGAGATTACAGAGTGACACGTTTCCAGATTAAAGAACATTTTTAACAGTTTGTCCAAAAGAACATTCACAGGCGTGACAAAGGTGTAACTCAGCTTCTTTGGCTGCCATGTCATGTCATTCTGGTTTAAGCGCCAGTGCGTCATGCACGATGTATATCTTAGTGGATGAGGTCAGGAACACGGCCTCAAGATAATTGTTAATAATTCAATCATTTAAAAATGTAGTTCTTTCCCAGCCACTTAATGAACACATTAAGGTCAAACTAAAAATCAATTAGTGAACAAACCTCCAAAGTTGACTCCAATGTCAATAATGGGAAAGATAAAGACATGTATTAGA